TCCAGCCATGCAGCGTGCTCAGTAAAATTCAAACGCTCAACAGAATTATAATGCGGCGGTGGGGGTCTATGTAGAATTTGTCGTGTCACTTGCTTTATGTACACTGCACACCATGGCATTAATATCCCACAAGGCACTATTAATATTAAGCAAACATGGGGTTATGTTTTATTGTCTTAATATGTGCTTAAGTGGTTACGTATCGTAGAGCGTCACCGCCTTTGGCAGAATTTGCCACGTTTATCGGACACATTATGCGCACACCTTTACTGTGGATTATTTTCATTAAAAACAGGAGCGATGTGTGTTCATACATAATAATTAACACCATTTGAAGAAGAACAACCAAAACACTGTGCTTATAAACACATTAACATAATAATTTGGAGAGTGATAGCTTTGTTGTTTTTTAAACGTACAAATTTCAAGTTCATAAATAAATATCACGGAGAATGACCAGGGCTGCCTGCATGTCAATCCAGCTTGCTATCGCCCTCTACCGACGCTTATCAAGATAATCCCTTACCACGGGCCGTGCTGCACGGCAATTTGTCTCCCTTCTCGGTAACTGCACTCGGGATGGCAGCATGAGAGGAGGCCCCTAGGTGGCATTCGTCTGTGACAATTATGTTTAGGTCTCGACAGGCCAGAAGAGACTCACATTCGGAGGCCATAGAGCCAGCAACCCTTGCTTAGCAAGAAAAATTAGCGCAAACTGATGCCTGGTGCCAAGGTTTATGCAAAGCCTGTCCTTGCCCTCTGACGATACCGGGACAAAATCTTACCTCATTCCATTTACTGACTAAACCTGTGTAAAAAATTCACATAAGCCCTTCTGCAAACCGCTCTGAACTCGTGACACCATTAGCAATCGTGTTTACACAAATGCTAGTTGTATTTGATTACAAATTAGTAACAAATTAGCGTAGAAATTACATCTTGTTTATTTTCACAAGGGCGTCAGACTGTAAAACATTTTACAGCGGAAAACATTGCACCGTTATTATTAATATTCTGAGGTCTTCACTCTGCTAAAGAAATGTATAAATTACTCAAAAAAAATAATGTTTGGCACGAAGACAAAATATATATGCGGAAATAAAGAAATAAATCCAAATTTGCTGCACCATAAAGCACAATGCAGTCAATATCTGTTGGAGGCAATGACGGCAGGTGACGTTTTACTGCTGTGAGACCATTCCAACTCCGTGAAGATAAACACGCGCGTAGCAGCAGACTTTGAGGCTCTCGAGGTCAAATTTTTCAACGAAACTTTTTTCTAAGAAATGTTCTGATGCAATGCACTCAATGACATTGCGACATTTGTGATTTACCCCACTGAAACTCATTAAGGCATATTGATGTCCGGAAAAAATATAACAACGCTTTAATGTGTTGCTCGCGATCAATGCTTTTGCCAGTATCTCCTTCTTCGAGAGCCAACGATAAATGCGAACATGCAGAGGCTTTGTGTGAAATATCCAACCGGACATCCACGATCAACAGCTTTCCGAGTAAAGCAGCACAGAATTAAAACACGTAGCGCCTTGGTGTCCCACGTGGCAGCTTAAAACACCTGAACCGAACTGTCATGCCTTCCAGGATGCTGGCGATAATTAGGTATTTTGCAAAGAAAGGCTGCACATATTGCACGTGTCTGCGTTGTGTAAATTTGACGTGCACGGTCGTTAACATTCAAAACCACAGCTCCTTATCAGTTCATCTCACCCATGGATAGTTTGCCTAATTAATATTTTTTGGATGAAGTGTTTGCTCTTTTAGGATGGCATAACATTCAAATGGCATATTTTTAAAAGGCTAATTATATGTGTAGTGGTACACTATGCAGTGCGATAGCATTAAAGTTTAGAATGTAAATTTGTAAGCCTTTATTGCAATTCCCAAAAATACTCTATCAACACAATAGAATTGGCAAACAAGAATAGTGCCCGAGTAGCACCAGAGTAGTGTGCCAGAAGACAAATGAATGCCGACATTTATAAGTAACTCATGTGATAAGCCATTGATTACTGAGTTTCCCAATAAGAAAAAGTTGCCTATTCAGCAGACCTTTAACTGTCGGGGAAACAGTTCCAAGTGTAGCCGGTGTGAGCTCACCCGTGATGAATCACGCGTCTATGATTGTGCACTGTGTGGCACATGGGAACCTAAGTAACAATTTGTGCATAGCTACGGGTAACCAGGTACGTTTTTGTTATTACTATTATAAGTGAATGCGACGGTGATCAGGGATTGGACCCATAGCCCCACGTGCACGGTAGAGTACGAGGTACACTCACCAATTTAGATGTTGGCGGACTTGGTGCCAGGTAAGCTGCACGTGGCATTATCTCCAACAATATATAACTGTTCAACTGATATTACTTGAGTTTCAATCGACTGACAGGAACACGGTAACGTGAATCGACTGTTGATTGAGTTGTTGGTGGTAATGATGATATGCACAATTAAGACATTGATATTAAAGTAGATGTCTACGTATAAAATACGTATAATTGAGTGGAGAATATTAACACTGGCACTCAATCCCATTGATAGAGAAATTGAGCTGCGGTGTTGTGAAGTAGAGGGTGTTTCTGATTACTATTGCAGGTATGAGATGCATACATGTCAACCCACACGATTTACCCCGTATTATTGTACAGGGAAATTGAGTTTTCAGCTCCATACGACGTACAGCAGTTTCAATACGGGCAACAACAAAATGTTTTTGTCTATTTGTTTGTGTTTTCTCTCCCTTGTTATGAGACTTTTTAGGATGTACGTCGATATTTGAATTAGTCTGTATTAAGGTAGGCACTGATAAGGGGTTGACAGGTATGGAGATGTTCACTTAATTTTTTATTTGTATTGTTTGCTGTTTTTTTGCGCGGAGAAATCGAATAATAAGATGACGTCCCGCCTCGTGGTGAGTTTTTATATATTTATTATTATTACGAGTGTTAATTACTTACTCTCTGATTCTTTCGGTAAAGTCACGTAGGTAGAAAAAATAATAGATCATTACTAATACGAATTATATTATCATTAATAATACATCATTAACATTAATAATAATAGACCATTAATGCCTCGTCTACAGCAGTCTGATTCTCTCACCTGAAGACGGTCGCTTGTTGTTGCGATCGAAACGTCGTGATCTTTTATTATTTTTTCTACCTACGTGACTTTACCGAAAGAACCAAAGAGTATGGATTCCTGCGGTCACGAAAACTTCAGATCAAGAGTGTGTTAATTACTTGTTTATTTTTTATCAATCCAACTCCAATCAATAGATATAACGGAGTTGGAAGATGATTAAAGTGTTTTGGTGATCAAAAACTTTGAAGCAGTTGTTTGGAAAAGTTTTTAACATTTGATATTGTGTTGCGGTGGACTATTCATTGGGAAGGCACAAATTGGCAGACTTAGAGCTTAATTGTAACATTGAGCTACTGGGGTGTTTTTTCACAGACTAAATTCCTGATTCGGGTATAAGAAAGAATTGTTTTATATGTTCATTGTCAGTAAAATATGATTTCTCTTGTTAATATAATCGTATAGAAAATATAATTATTAAAATTACGTATTGTTTTGTTTAAGCATTATTATCAGGGGCTGTAGGAGGTGCTACATATGTTTCGGGCAGATGCCTGACGTTAGATATGAAAAATGTTTCCGGTTAAATGTTTGTTAAAAAATATGTTTCAATGTTCGATATGATAAGCGGCTGTTATCATAATTGCGATTTGGGCGGACTTGGTACTGTGACATGGAGGGTATCTCTGATTGCTATTGCAGATACGCGATGCCCTCCTGCAGACGACTTTTAAAATAAAGTTTTGCCGTTTCACAAAATCCCCTGATGCTCAGCTGTTGAGAAGTGACTCACCTCTCGGCAGGACAGAACACATCGCTCAGTCACTACTCATCGTCTCCAAACTTTATTTTTGTTGTTGTTGTCTATGTGGCCGGCGTGTCACTCCCTGCACAAGGATTCGCGACGGGAGGAGAGGGCGACAGAGCGGACCAGCTACACAAGCAAACTTTAATTGTGGTTCTAGATTTGAAGCTTGATACAGTAAATTTAGCTGTGACGGTCCCACCTGATGACGGATACTTGTGTTGCCTCCGAAACGTCGTGATTTATAATTCTATTTCTATTATTATTTCTCTTATTTTTTATTTTACCTACGTGACTTTACCGAAAAAACCTAAGAGTATAGTTTAATTGTGGTTCCAATGTAGTTACGTCTTTGCAAATAAAAGTATCGTACTGTGTATTCTAAATAAATGTGTACACATCAGAAGGTGTATGAAAAATAGCATCATTATTTAAATTCAAATGTTAAGATTGGCATTTGGAAATGCCACAATAAAATCAACGATGCAATCGTGTGGGTATAAGTGTGCACGTGTGTGAACGCGCGCGTGTGCGTGCGTGCTCATGGGTGTTCATTGCGAGTGGCCGCTCACGGCCAACACCGGCGACGATGATCTGAACGTGTTCTGGGCCTCCCCGAGGTGGAACTCAACCTCAAATGAGTTGCCGGTGCGCTGTGCGTCGTAAACATCGCCACTGGGAAGAGACAAAGGCGGCCTGGTTGTGGTTTTCACTTCAAGTTCATTTATTAGGTATAGCCCTGTGAGCAATTCGGCTCTTGAATCGGGTGCAACCGCAACACACAAAAAACATGAACAAAAAACATCTTAAAGTGAATATGTAACTGAGTGCAAACAGAAAATCCAAGAAAGGACAGCAAAATATTGCAGAAAAAAACACCGTACACCAACGCTGTGTGCAAAAATCCCAGTGGGATGCAAGTCAAACAACCAACTTGCGCCCCCAACACACACAGTCTGTTGTTACAGGCTATGAGTCGGCCCCCACTCCCCTGCATGCTACAGCAGGGTGCAGTTGGCATTGTTTGCGAAGTGAAGAGATCCTTTGGCCATTGGTAGCTTCCGTGTTAGAATAAGGGTGGGAAGTTGCTTGGCAACCGTAAAGCTTTGGCTGAGAAAATAAAAAAACCCGTACAACCCTCGGAGATTTAGCTGGAGAAATGTAATAGAGTAACATCGTCATTAAGGGCTGAAAATGGCTTCGGGCGTGGATTTACCAACTTTGAAAAGTGTCCTTAAGCACTTGCGCGACCTCGGTATGTGACATGCGACTTAAGACCCCATCGTTCACAAACCCATTATTATTATTACAATGTGGCTAAAGCGTGTACTAAATACGCCGCACGCTTACTCACAGCTCCAAGGAGTCTTGTGCAGTAATGTGTATCCAGTAATTCCATCTATGGCTGGAATAAGCCCGCAAGGCAACGGAGCTCTCTCTGTCAGGTATAATTTATTTCGTTGCTGTGTGTTTGTAGAAACTGTTTGCGAGCCATGCCTAGCTAGCACCGTGTGCGCATCACCGCGACTTAGCCCACGGCAAAAGTGTTGTGATTTTTTTATTTTGCCCGATAGAGTGAACGCTTGGTAATGCGACAGCACGCGGTGCTCAGCTCGCTAGCTGCCCTTAGTTTTTTTTTTGGGAAGTTAATTAAAACGTTAATTCAGTGACTGAGCACAATGTTCATGTGTGTGCATACTTATTGAATACGTTCAAATGTCAATTCTAGATTTAAAGGTTTCGTGACTGCAAGTATTCATACTTTTTTTTTCACTTGATCCAGTAATTTCGGAGGCAACACAAGACGGAAGCTTGTGTTGCCTCCGAAACGTCGTGATTGTATTTATGTTAATGTTTTACCTACGTGACTTTACCGAAAAAAACAAAGATTACGTTCAAATGTCGGTGGGTGTATGTGTCATTACGTGTTTGCTGTGTGTGCGACGTAACACGAATATCACTCTTTCCATCTCAAGGGATCGTGGAGGTGAATTATTTTAATAAATACGATGGTGTGTTTATATAATACGATGGTGTGTTTATATAATTGTAATAATTACTTATAGCAGAACATGTATGGTTGCATTTTTTTAAAATCACAGTGCCGGTTTGTACTTTTCTAACCCATCGTTTTATGTTTTCGTCTCGTCTCAGCACATCATTTCAAGAAGGATGAGCATGGATTTCAGGAAGAGGAAATTAGTCACTTTGAAGAAATTGCCATAGCCATGGAAGAACTTGTAAGGATAAAAAAATGCATTTCCTGATATGAAACGTAAATAAGTATAGTATACTCTTTGGTTCTTTCGGTAAAGTCATGTAGGTATAAAATAAAATAAATAACGACGTTTCGGGCGTAACACAAGCGTCCATCATCAGGTGGGAAAGCATGGTCTGCATTCCGAAAACGGACCATGCAGACCATGCTTTCCCACCTGATGATGGACGCTTGTGTTGCGCCCGAAACATTGTGCTTTATTTTATTTTAAACCTACGTGACTTTACCGAAAGAATCAAAAAGTATGGATTCCTGCAGTCACGAAAGCTTCAAATCAAGAAAGTATAGTATATATCCCGCATTCGATCATTCTAAACAACTATCCATTAAAATACCGTAGGTCAAATGGAATGAATCATTACACCCACACACTGCAGTCGAGGAGACAAAACAGCTGAAATAATTGCAATATTAAGAACAAGACTTATATTTTCTAAATTGCTGCTTCCGATGAAGGTCAGAAAGGATTTTCTTTGCATATAAATGCTACCTCTACAACGTGACACGTTGGCAAAAAAAATATATAGGAATGCAAACCTGTGATTTAGTGTGGCTATTTTTACTCCCAGTTCTATGCTGTGACAAAAGACACAATATTCAACTGTGATTTTACAACTTTTCAAAGTCATATTAAAACCTACCACACTGGAAAACTGTCCAAATTTAGATTACAGCAATGCTCTCATAATGGTTATAGTTTAAGTTTGATCTTGCCCTAACTGAGATATTCTTAATGTTGGATTTCATGTATCTAATATGGATAATCATAAATTCCATGGACACTGGATTTGTTAGTCTTGCTTCGGTTACCTTCAGATGGCATTAATCCACAGCACTAAAACTTCCTGAATTATGCCATTTATTCCCAATTCAGAGCCAATAACAATGTTCAGGAAAATGAAGATGAAATTCCATTTAGAGAAACAATTTTAGTCGCAGATTAACATTTTAGAAGGGGAAAGGTACAATGTTGTTATGCTAGACAGTGCATGGCACTCTGTCATTACACAGCAATGATTAGTAGACGGGAATACATAGCATTCACTTTGAACTTTAAAAAATGTTATGTCGCTCATAAGCCATGGCAGTAGGTCGACAGTTTAGCTTATAACGGTTTTAAGTGCAACATATGGACACGGTGATGACACCGCAAATTACGGTGGGTAGAGAAAACGTGAGTGAGCATGGGAGGGTTGGAGGCCAACAAAATAGCAGGGACTACACCATGAGACCACGTGTGGGTCACAGAGCCGATAATGATGGCCACGTCTTCTCCTTCTGTCACCCCAACTGCTGTTGTCACTACCGTCGTGTGGATGGGGGTGCCTCTGTGAAAATATTGCATAGGGCTGGCCGGCAGAGCATTCTGTAAAATAACTTGCTTCCACGCGCCACAAAATCACAAACAACGTTGTGACTGCATTTAAACAAGCCTCTCTTCCCATAGCTTTGTTTTAGTTTGAGCAATTTATACACATTTTATAGTCCCCATGTAAAAAAAATGCTTTATGTGTATGTCGATCACGAGGTGTAACGGATAGTTGAATAGAATATCCACCCCAATGGTTTTGATCTTGCGGGTTTTTTGTGCATTACTGCAGGATGCAAAAAGAAGACATGCTCATGATCGATTGGAAGTGGAAACCATAAAAGCGAGCCTGCTCAGGCAAAAGCTCCACACCATTCCAAATGAAATCAGCCGGGAAAGAGCCGGTGCGTAGTGGCACGGTAGCATGCCGCGCGTGTAAAGGAGTGTTCCGGACCTCGTGCACTTGACCTTACGATCTGTGAGCTGTTAATGGATCTGAGGACGGTTAATGAATCATAAAGTTTATTGGAATGTGTGATATTGGTCACATAAAACACCACAGGTACGCAATACATTAGGCTTCTGATGACAAATTGATGTATGACCCGAAAGAAATCCCTCGAAAAAAAACAAGCTTAATTCTGTTTTTAAACAAAGCTAAAGGGACCTCTTCCACATCAAGCATATTCAGTCAAAATACGCTTTTTGTGTCTTTCATGATTCGATTAATTTCAAGTAATGTAATTTACAAATGTAAATAAGTCTTTCTTGAGTACATCATTAATGTGCTTTGCAATTGATACAGAATGAAGTTATTCATTTTTAAGAAATACTTCAAATAGATAATTGCATAGGCATGTTTGCGTTCACTCTGGATGAACCTTTCAAGGTTGTGACAATGCTTTGTCTGTTCCAGCTGCAGTCTCGGCAGCGCGAGACACGAATTCAGCAGAGCTCAAAAACCTGCGGCATGGACTGAGCGCAACCTTGGAAGAAATTCAGGAGCTGCAAAAGAAACATAATTTTTTGGAAAATGACAATTCTGCACTGATGTCAGTCTATTGTTACAAAAAAAATCATTTGAAACATGCATGTAGAATATTAACAGCTAACAAAAACACATTACAGAACTTCAAATATTGTACACAAAAGAAAGAAATAGAAGGCAGCATTTTTTTGCATCTGGTATACCGAATACAACGTGAATGGTAGTTCTGCTATCGTCAAAATGTTATTGCGGCGGATAGCAATGCACGTGTTTGTTATGCTCATTTAGCGTTTGGAATTAAATGGGGAGAAACACGAGCACAACTTTTCTGAGATATAGCATGCCCTTACCAAATTCACAAAGGGACTGTTCAAATGAGTTGAAGTGCTTTTTGTTCTTATTAAACTCATAATAAGGCTGATTTCAAGTTATAAAAGTGTAAATGCCATGCTATTTTCTTAACACCAGCAAAAGATTGTGAAAGTAAAACTTTTCCTACACAGTCTAAAAACTGTAAAAAAAAATATTCCCACAATGTTTTGAGATATTTAACTTTTTTTATGTGCTGGAGTTAAATCATATCAATATTTTTTTTAAACAATTTTCAGATGTCTACCAATGCCAAGACAATGTCACGTACCAAAAACATCATGCTCTGTCGCACAGTAACCAGGTATTACATAAATAGTTCATATTATGCAGCCTTGGTTATAACGTGTATATTTTTGCATTCTCTTTTGCAGGCCTGAATTGGAAAAATGGCAATCACAAAAAGATGAAATCATATACCGACTCAATGAACAAATGTCAGAACGAGCCAACATGCAGATCACACTCAATGACACACACAAGCAAATTCAAGAGTCAAGAGAGACCATCAGTCGACTGGAGGTGGCACGGGAAGACTTGCTGAAAGCCATGGCTCAAGAAAGAGCCCAGTTTGCACTGAATAAGGAGGGAATTCTTAAAGAGGTCACATTACTATTTTGTGTTTTTATAAAACTGTAGGGGTGGTTGGCACAGAGGTCAGTGCACTGCTGATGTCCCGGGTTCATATCTAGATTTCACCAAACCATGATTAACCAGGTTCTCAGTCACAGTGGTCTCAGCTCAGGCACCAATTACTGCAAACACAAAAAATATACTTTTGAAATACGCTTCAATTAACTTGACAAAATTACAGCTCTGGTAATTATAAATATTGCCATGTGAAGAAAATCACTATAGTAAATGGGAAAGTGTCAGACCCTAGCGTGCACAAAAGGTCACTTTGATGGATCTCTGAAGTAGTTATTTGATTTCACCTTCCACGAGTTATTCTTCATGATGCGGTGATACACTGCTCTGAGAGCTCCCATTGGACATTTCTTCATCTTTTGAAATTACTTCGGTAACACAGTACACAGTTGGAATAGAATTGGGAAAAAGGAGAAAAGTATGCTTTTGAAAAAGTATTTTCATAAAGCTAACTCTGCACTCTAAGTTGGATAATAAAATAACATCTCCCCATTCTCACCGTTAACATTTTATAGGCTGTTGTGTACAGTAAAACCATAAGCACTGGATGCATGCACTTTTGATTCACAAAAACCATGAATTATTAATTTTATGTAAATTACATCGAATGTATCTCCGCGTGTTTGGTAACAGATGGAGAATGAGAAGAGTCTCGTGGGAGCACAGAGGGAGATGAATGCAGAGAAAAGAAAGGATGTGGAGCAAGTGACTAAGGAGCTGAGTGACCAACAATGCAGACTCGATAACCAGTATCAGGTACACACCGATAGCAGTTTACTCCTGTGTAAATAAAAAAACATGTGGAAAGAAGAACACTTTTGTTGTTCAAAATGTATTCAAGATTATCTTGTGACGGCGGGGGGCTTACAATATGCATTTTCCTGTCCCATGAAAACACTGAACAAAGTTGGACATCAGCAAAAAGAGTGTTTTTTTTCTTGGACGATGAGATAAAATGCATGTGCTGTTTACCAAAATGATATCCTACCACTCGTAAACACTGACTTCAATTCCCAACCACGGTTAACATCAGTGATGAGCGACATCTGTACTTGTCCTGGGACCCACCCCCCTTTCATCAACCGCACTAACTAGAGTAGGGAAGTATGGTCAAATTAAATCCCATGACTGACAAGGCATGGGGGGAGACTTTCATCCAGAAATATGTTGATAGCTTAATTTTTTTGCAAACATGTCAAGAAACATCGACAATGACAGTCTACGCAGCATTTGTTTATGTATACATTATATATATATATTTTTTAAACATCGACTTTGACACAGAATCCTTCTTCGCACACATAAAAAGAAACGTTCCCAGGATCGTCCCGTTGTTATTTTTTGTTATCGAAGCTGTCTTTTGAAATCTGTAAGTCTTCCCATGACATTAAAAGTCACCAGATGTTGTCATTTGCTTAACAACACAGCACTCAGCCTGATGCGTGTACATGTACAATAGTTCCCCCCCACCACCACCACCACCTCCATCATTGTGAAATATTCCTCTTCCAAATTATACGTCCCAGTTTTTAAATCCTTTATATTAAGTTCACTTGCTTGCTTGCTTGCGCGCTTACGACCGTGCAAATCTTTCGGTCGTTTTTTAACCCACTTCCCGTGATCCAATCGAGCTGACATTTTGCACACAGACTCGTTGTGTGTGACAATTTATTTTCGTGAACAGTTTTTTTCCAAAATGTTCCACTTTTTAGGAAAAATAAAAATAAATTTTTAATTTAAAATACCAATGTGATAAAAATGAAACTCTTACTCAAGAAAAACAGAAATGAATAATAAAATAAAACCGATGCCACGCATATAAAGGATTTATAGTGAAAAACTTAGTTTTTACGGGTAAATTTTTTTATATTAAATACATATATATATACCTCAAAGGTGGCAACCATATCTGCACTATATATTGAGATCACCTCCTCGAAGGCAGCCTGGAGCCTCATTAGCGTCGTGCGCCTTGTAGCTGCTGAGTCGCGTGCAGGGTTCGCTGGCGCTGCTGGAGGCGGCTCGCGTGCGGGAAACGGCACGGCAGGAGCAGGGGGTCCAGCAGCAGCAGGAGCTGCGCAAACGCAGGTGCAAGAAGCCACTCGCAGCAGAGCGGTTGCACTAACAAGAATGTGTGTAAATTTCGATTTAAAGCTTCTTTCGTGACTGCAGGGATTCATCTTCTTGCTTCTTTCGGTAAAGTCACGTAGAAGGGAAATAATAAAATAATAAAAATAAAACAGAATAAAATAATTCTCACGACGTTTTGGCCACAACGCAAGCAGCCGTCCTCAGGTGAAGAATGAAACACCACCAAGCTTGGAGCACCACCAAGTTTGGAGCGTATATTTATATATATATATATTTGTATATATATACACTCCAAGCTTGGTGGTGTTTCATTCTTCACCTGAGGACGGCTGCTTGCGTTGTGGCCGAAACGCCGTGAGAATTATTTTATTATGTTTTATTATTTTATTATTTTCCTTCTACGTGACTTTACCGAAAGAACCAAGAAGAAGAATATGTGTGTGTGTGTGAGAGATTATCTGGTGCATCTTACCGGTCATCTCAGTCAGCCAAAGTATGGCACCTGCAGGGTCTGTCCCGAGACCTGTCAGCGAGCCTTCGACACTTCACGTGGCCTCAAAGTGCACCTGGCCTGGCACAGGCGCCGTGGTGACGTTACCGTCACCTAGTGGCGAATGGCGGTTATTGGTATTGATTATAATCATACTCGTAGTATATGAGAATACAGGCAGACCTCGCTTAGTGCTCAAGGTGCGTTCCTGGAGAAGTGAGCGCTAATCAAATCAGCACTAAAAGGGGCCATTATATCATTGTTTTTATGGGGATGTGTTCCTGACAGCGTTGTTTCTTTCGTATGAGCTATATATGAGAGCTTGATTGAGGTATCGGTAAGAGCGCCAATAATAATCGAGATGTTAAACATGATTTCATGAATAAAAAATAATTTATTATTACGTCGGTAAGTATCTACCCACGAGTGTATTCTACAGAACTTCTATAAGGCAGCGGTGGGAGACAAAGCGCGATAACGAGAATCGGCAGTCTACGGCGTCGCGCTAAGCGAGGTCTGCCTGCAATATTTCTGGCCGGATGATCTGCATGGATTCCTGTCTGGCTGGGTGCCGCGCTCCAAAGCGCGCAAGCGTCGGGGTTGGTGATGTCACTGCGCACATTTGCGTGATGACATCACCCGCATCCCCAAAGCGTTGAGCCGGGCTCATGCGTGCTGAAGTCACACGTCCCCCAAGCGTGTATCCCACGCAAATGTACAGGATATCATGCTATAATATAATCATACTGTCTCTGTCACACTACCATATTATATTAGAACAAAGGAGGGAGGTGAGGGAGGGAGGGGGACAGAGGATGGAGAGACAGAGAAAGGTGCAGCGAGAGAGTAAAATGGCATGCAACGGATAGGAAAGAAAGAGAGAAAAGCGGAAAAAGGACAGCGTGGGAACGTGATATGCAGTGGGAGAGAGGCTTAGGAAAAGGCAAGAGAGATTGAGGTGGGGAAATGAGAGGTGCGAATAAGGAAAGTAAGGGTGAGAGGTGAGAGGTGAGAGAGAGAGAGAGACACAGGGAAAGAGATAAGGGGGGTGGGTGGATAAATGTGCGAGATGAAGTTGAGAGAGGAGAGGCGACAGAGGAATTGAGAAACAGAAAAAGCGAGACATAGAAATACATTTTGATATACAGTACAGAGAATGAAATAGAAATATGGAGAAATACAGCACTATATATAAGAATAATAATACTTTTTTCCAGCTGATTGACTGGGAGGGACATACACAGTCACGTCTAAAGGATGTGCTAGTTGCTCGTACTGTGCAGGGACTCCTCGAGTTACGAACGAGTTAGGTTCCAGAGGTCTGTTCGTAAGTCGATTTGTTCGTAAGTCCAACTTTACTCCTGTCGATTCCAAACATGTTGGCCAGCAACTACACTAAACACGTAGAATGGATTTAAAAGTTGTATAATCTCCTGTCGATGTAGATGCCACTGGTTCTTCATGTTCTGCATATGGAGATGCCACTGGTTCTTGATATTCTGCAGATGTAGATGCCACTGGTTTTTTGTATTCTGCAGATGTAGATGCATTCCCAGAATTTCTGCCTGGGCATAAATTCTGGGAATACTGGGTAATGACACCAAACAACCACCGCCATCTATTACGAGGCGGTTGAACTTACGACTCTCGGTCGGAACAGGCAGCTGGACATACGGACAGGTTTGTTCGTATCTCTGAAAGTTTGTAAGTCGAATGTTCGTCGGTAGAAGAGTCCCTGTATATTTAATAGAAAGCTTTCATGCCACTGCCATCACAGTATCACCAAAAATAATGTTATTAGAAAGCTCTATGCGATGAAGAAATGCCATTGCCAGAAATGTCGCCCTTTCAGGGCGATGCTATTGATGAGTGTGCTTTAGTTTTTTTTGAGAGAGTTATCGCTCTTTGTGCTTTCATACCACTGCCATCACAGTATCACAAAAAATAATGTTGTTCCATTGAAAGGACTAAGTCGACCGCAGTGGAGAATTGATGCAATGTTACTCACACTTGCGCTATGAATCCGGTGGCACCTAAGTTAGATTTCTAGCCACATCTAATGACGCCAGCAGTGAGTAATGTCTGAATCGGTTCTGAGCATGTGCTCGATACCAGTGTAATATCCTACTACCCATGACAAACTTTGGGGTAGAGCAGTGGCACACATTGGTTAAGGGCACTGTGCTACAAACCCGATAAGCCCATTCACCAACCCTCACTGACCAGCATGGACAAACAGTTTGCATGACTGACACAGCATGGAGAGGCTCATCCAGCAGTGAATAGGCATCGGGCTATTGATTATTTAGATTGTATTAATTAGTGCCTAAAATTATCGTACAATCATTGGATATTGCTGCTGCTGTACAGCCACTGTGACACCACATTGGATGCCTATGATATTTTAACTTAGGTGTTCTAGATACCAATTGTGAATAATAATTCCTCTTATTTACCCAGAGAAGCCTCACTGAGTCATAAGACTTCGTTTCACGAGGGTCTTGCATTCAGATGTTTGACCAATCCATGAATGCCTGTTAAGTATATGGGAGGAAACTGGAGTACACGGTGAACACCCGTGCATACAAGGCAGGGATGTTTAAAGCTCCGCATAGATAGATTCAAGAATAAGTTTCTCTAATACCATTGCCCAGTGACCACATGACAGTGGTCATAAGAAAATAAATAATTCCGTTAAATGACCAATTATAGCTCTGGACCTGCAAAATTATATTTCTGCCGAGATATTAATGTATTGTCTCACCAACGTATAGTCAATGGAATAGTAACTACCCAAACCTTCCATTAAATTCACCGCTTCTTGCACCAACTTTAAATGGGCAGCTGCCCATGGTGTGGCTGTAATATGGCTGCCGTTTTGCAAGAGTTTGCACTCTGGCATTTAAAAGTTTCACGTGACACACACGCACATTGCACGGGTAATGGATGAACACGGTAATTTTTGATCGATTGGTTTGGATTTCAATGGCAGTCGTGTCATCAAATACACGGTTCGCAGATGGAACTAAGCAGCTGCCTGAGAAGAACGGTTCTTTGGGTAAGCGCAGCCGACTGATGCATAATACATCACCGCTACATTCCAATTAACAAATTATGCATGCTGCTGGGTTGCGTAAATTTTTTTCTACAATAAAAAAAACACTCAGACTTCCAGTCCACAGGGAAGGCCTCCTCTAATGGTGATCACACCACAAGCCGGAGTCTTGTGCTGCCTCTGCAGTCTGAAGTCAACGGCATGTTTTAGGCGATAATGTAAAATATAACCTGGGAATTGTCATTGTGGGCGCAGTCTAAATGGCTGTGCACGAGCGGAAGATTAATCAGTAATGAGTGACAGATGAAATATGTGCTTGAAACGCCCCTGTGATGGAACGTTGCAGGGTTGAGCAACTGCAGGTTATGCTGGTGGAGCACAATTTTTATTTTTCATGTCAACCAATCTTCTCCAGTTACTTGCATATGGTTTAAATAGCTTTAGATGTGCCTGTTGATAGACTGGCATGGAAATATGAACTTTGTACAGCTCATGCGAGCTGCTCATTTGTGCATGTTTTTTACAATTTATTTAAGCAAGATAACACGAACAATGCTCGTACTGGAATTGTTGTGAACGTCTTCTTGGTTCTTTCGGTAAAGTCACGTAGAAGGGAAGTAATAAAATAATAAAAATAAAACATAATAAAACAATTCTCACGACGTTTCGGCTACAACGCAAGCAGCCGTCTTCAGGTGAAGAATGAGACAATGCCAAGCTAGGAGCTTATATATAAGCTGCGTTGGAGGTGGAGGAAAGAGCGCCTTAACAAAAGAATGTGCATGTGAAGAGGAATTTAGCATATTCATGGAAAATGCGTAGGAGGTGGGCGGGGGGGTTTCAAAGTCATATTATGCCCATGCATTATGCAGGATCAACAGCACCAAGGGGGGGGTGCAGGGATTAGCAGTAACAAAGGAAAGGAATGTTAATGATATGTAGCTGCAGTTACTCAACCACCACGTAGAAAACTAAAGTATAAACTACATACAAAACTAAAGTATAAATAGCATAGCACCATCAGTATACTTACTATACTCTACACTAAGCTGAGTTACTAACAGCAAGTAATACATTACAATTCTACGTCGTAAAAATTATATAATATGCTTCCATCTAAACTTTATTCTATTGCATCAACGAGCATATACCGTACTATATACTGCCAACATTAAATTATATACTGTATTGCTGTAAACCAACCTATATCTTATACATTTAATATAACACTATGTATTATTCTACCCACCCTAATGTGTGTCGAAATGGTTTATTACGTCCTTCCAATGATTGCTAAGCCAGAATCCATCTTCTCGGTTAAAATTGTCTCTGTGTTTGTATATGTGGATCGCCTCATGAACGAATCTCTCATGATAGCCAGATGGCTTGCAGAGAACCTCTGTCTTGGAGAAGTCAATGTCATGTGAGCCCACTGAATTGTAACAGTGATCTGCCATGGCTGAGGTGTTTGTCCTACCGTGTTTCAGGTCTGCCTTATGTTCACGGATGCGGTCCGAGACATGTCGTTTGGTTTCTCCAATGTAACTGCTACCACAGAGGCAACTTAGTTTGTAGACGCCAGGGTACTGTATGTCTGGAACCACATCTTTTACAGACGGGACCAGATCACGGATTTTATGTACTGTGTTGAATCGGACCTGGATCTTGTGTTTAATCAGGATTTTGGAGATCTTTTTTGTGACCCCAGCAATGTAGGGTAAGGTGATGGTCTTGAAAGGCTCCTCAACAGGATCCTTCTTGATGGTTGGAGTGATGGCTTTGCGGATTGTGTAGTCGGAGTAACCATTAGCCTTAAGAGCTTGGCGTACGTGTTTGAGTTCACTGGAAATGTGTTCATGGTCGGAGATGCCCCAGACGACCTGCTTGTCAGTTTTGATGTGGTTTCCTTATTCACCAAGGTTCCTGTACCTGATACCATCGCAATCATTGAAGACTTGGTTCATCATGGACTGAATGCTGGGGTACCCCCCCTGGTGAGACACTGCTTAACCAATACATACTTCACCTGGAATGAAACTTTCTACAAGCAAACTGAGGGCACCCCAATGGGCTCCCCCCTATCTCCGGTTGTAGCCAACATCTTCATGGAGAAATTTGAGACGGACGCCATCCAGACTGCCACTCTACGCCCGACCTTATGGAAGAGGTACGTAGACGACACTTTTGTCATCTGGCCACATGGCCGTGCTGCTCTAGACCAATTTCTCGACCACATCAACTCCATACACCCAGCCATCAGATTCACCATGGAAGTCGAAAAAGATGGCAAGCTACCCTTTTTGGATGTCCTAATCAAAAGGAGACCTGATGGTTCAGTGAGCCACTCTGTCTACAGGAAAGCCACCCATACGGATGCTTATCTAAAACCGGATTCCCACCACCATCCATCCCAGAAGAATTCCCTCATCAAGACTCTATATCATAGAGCCCAATGCATCTCCGACCATGAACACATTTCCAGTGAACTCAAACACGTACGCCAAGCTCTTAAGGCTAATGGTTACTCCGACTACACAATCCGCAAAGCCATCACTCCAACCATCAAGAAGGATCCTGTTGAGGAGCCTTTCAAGACCATCACCTTACCCTACATTGCTGGGGTCACAAAAAAGATCTCCAAAATCCTGATTAAACACAAGATCCAGGTCCGATTCAACACAGTACATAAAATCCGTGATCTGGTCCCGTCTGTAAAAGATGTGGTTCCAGACATACAGTACCCTGGCGTCTACAAACTAAGTTGCCTCTGTGGTAGCAGTTACATTGGAGAAACCAAACGACATGTCTCGGACCGCATCCGTGAACATAAGGCAGACCTGAAACACGGTAGGACAAACACCTCAGCCGTGGCAGATCACTGTTACAATTCAGTGGGCTCACATGACATTGACTTCTCCAAGACAGAGGTTCTCTGCAAGCCATCTGGCTATCATGAGAGATTCGTTCATGAGGCGATCCACATATACAAACACAGAGACAATTTTAACCGAGAAGATGGATTCTGGCTTAGCAATCATTGGAAGGACGTAATAAACCATTTCGACACACATTAGGGTGGGTAGAATAATACATAGTGTTATATTAAATGTATAAGATATAGGTTGGTTTACAGCAATACAGTATATAATTTAATGTTGGCAGTATATAGTACGGTATATGCTCGTTGATGCAATAGAATAAAGTTTAGATGGAAGCATATTATATAATTTTTACGACGTAGAATTGTAATGTATTACTTGCTGTTAGTAACTCAGCTTAGTGTAGAGTATAGTAAGTATACTGATGGTGCTATGCTATTTATACTTTAGTTTTTTTATGTAGTTTATACTTTAGTTTTCTACGTGGTGGTTGAGTAACTGCAGCTACATATCATTAACATTCCTTTCCTTTGTTACTGCTAATCCCTGCACCCCCCCCTTGGTGCTGTTGATCCTGCATAATGCATGGGCATAATATGACTTTGAAACCCCCCCGCCCACCTCCTACGCATTTTCCATGAATATGCTAAATTCCTCTTCACATGCACATTCTTTTGTTAAGGCGCTCTTTCCTCCACCTCCAACGCAGCTTATATATAAGCTCCTAGCTTGGCATTGTCTCATTCTTCACCTGAAGACGGCTGCTTGCGTTGTAGCCGAAACGTCGTGAGAATTGTTTTATTATGTTTTATTTTTATTATTTTATTACTTCCCTTCTACGTGACTTTACCGAAAGAACCAAGAAGATGAATCCCTGCAGTCACGAAAGCTTTAAATCGAAATTTGTTGTGAACGGTAAAGGGTGCAGTCCCGAAAATGCTCGCTCATGCCACTGTTGCTGGAAGGGCCTCCTCCAGAGGGAGCTCAAGAGAGCCAGCCCTTCTAGACGGTATATTCGCCTACTTGTCCACGCTGACTACATATCTTGGAAGAGGTTGGAGTACCTGTAATATCTACGCCACCACGAGCGACCTAGCGATCGACTTAACCGCAGTGTTCACGTTCACACTGCTGGGTGGACAGAGGTGGAGTTTAAGAAACGTGTCCATTGTTTTCAACTGCTGCACAGGCAGATTGAACCGGATCGCAAGTCCAATGTGTGAACAAACCCATCATGGCAGCAATTCCTGAAGTGCCGATACTTGTTTGATTGGCCAAAGTTGTCGTGCAAATATATATAAATCTTACTGTTTATCTTTCAGCAAACGCTTAACCGAGGGCTTGACACACGCATCTCAAACACTCGGCAAAAGAATTAGCGTCCTCCGTGAAACGCAATCCAAGGTAACATTTGCATCACGCCACCCAGACACTTAAAGCCTCCACCCCACGGTGCACAGGAGTACATGCTCGCTGTGCTCACTTCAACTGTTTCGTGCCAAACTTTGCGTCAGACGAATAAGGCGTTGGCGGACGCTGAAGAGATGAAGAAAAGTCTGCAAGCTCGGCGCTCCGACACAGAGGCAAGGCTCGTCCAGGCACGGGAGCTGGAAGCCAAAGAGCTCGCAAATAAAGAGGACGCAATTAAACAGTGAGTAGGAGGGACAATCTTGATTTGAAGTTTTCGTGACTGCGGGAATCCATACTCTTTGGTTCTTTCAGAAAAAAAATTACGTAGAGAGATAATCTACGTGACTTTACCGAAATAACCAAAGAGGAGGGACAATGTTGCACTGACAAAGGAAATCATTTAAAGGTGTTGAGTGCATATTGAAAGCGCTCTGAGGTGCCAGGTTTTGGAGCATGACCCAGACTGGAACTGAAGTTGGAATCAATGGCCCGTATCAAAGTGATGCTTTAAGCACTACCCACTAACCCAGTGGCCCAGCAGTACACATTAAGTCGTACAATCTATCAAAGTGAGCACTTTGATAGCTGGGAGCTCCATGTCTAATTTAGCATTTTACGTCATTTTGAGCCATGTTGCTAAGTGGAGGTACATTACAACTAGATTAGCACTATTCTTTGGTTCTTTCGGTGAAGTCACGTAGATAGAAAAATAAAAAGTGAATAAAATAATAAAAACAAGAAAAACACGAATGCAGACTGTAGCCTGGTTCTTATTTGGAGTGTACTGCCAATCTATAATGTAGCCTGGTTATTAAGTTTGGTGAGTGTACTGGTCTGGGTGATGGTACTGGCAGTCTATAATGTAGACTTATATTCTTTGGGTCTTTCGGTAAAGTCACGTAGATAGGTTCAAAGAAAATAACAAAATAACAAAAAACTACGACGTTTCGATTGCAACACAAGCGGTCGTCATCAGGAAAAGGGGGGTTATCTTCTTTGAACCTATCTACGTGACAATACCGAAAGACCCAAAGAATATGAATTCCTGCAGTCACGAAAGCTTTAAGTCAAGATTTATTGTAGACTTATTATTGGTTCCTAAAAATAAGCACTGTTTGATAACACTAATTGTGTTGCGCTAATTTGTAGTTTTTTTGCCATTGTGCTGCATAGTTCTCTGATGTGTTTTCGGATTGTACCACGAGTCTTTTGACATGCCAGTCTATCAGCAGCACATTTGTCATGCAGTACAACAAGTACGCAGAGAGCTATCCCAATTTTGTTAGTGTAGCTGTGAAGGACGCATTGACGGTGGAACATTGCCTGGTAAAATATAGCCACTTTCACAGCTTAACAATTCGATTTGACACCAATAACATTCACAGTTTCACACTCATTGGGCCATTTAGAATTAGCTTAAACATAGAGAGCTGTTATCCTGGCCCCTGTGTGGTCACAACTGGCTCCATCGACACTGCAATCGATACTGGTTCTTTTAGGACTTCCCACCGAAGCGGTCTCAGGGATGGTCGATGGAGTCTCATTTATCAGGGATCACTTCTAGGAGGAGTTAAGGTCAGCAATGTTCACGCTGCCAAGATCCATTTCTTTGAGCCATCATGAATTGATTGCAACTGAATGCACCGAGTGCAACAATACTTTGTGTTATCGCTACCTTTTTAAAATATATATGACAGTTCCATTTACACAGGTGTGAAATAATCATTGGTTTATTGTAACATTCCTTTTAACATAGAGACGTAATTCAGACCATACATTTGCATCATTTTATGATTACATAGTAGACAAAAGTGCGCGCAAAAAAACAAGCCAAAGTATCGTGCACGCTCATTAACATCAATAACACTGATGCATCTCATTAAAGCAACCATTACGCGCCACATATTTGCATTTAGATTGCTATGAAATTCGCCCAACATGAATAACAAATATTCTAATAATGCAACTTGAGACAATTATTAATCAACGCATATTTACATTCGAGAGCGTCAACATTGTGCAAACACCTCGCGGCGTAAACCTGTGATCGAAATGGCTGCAGGTTATGCTAGGTGCCCACGAGGGCCACTATTCTGTGATGTAAGCGGAGGTGCTGTGCGTGATTCACCACGTTCGACTCGGTTTCTAACGCACACACGCTCCCCCATGATACCTCATTCCTACCGACTTTCCACATCAGCCGAGCTCCCATTCCTCATGTAAATCACATCATGTTTGCACATTACGCTTATCTGCTCATTTGTCGACATGGGACGGCTGTCTGTGTTTGGCCTCCAAAGACTTAAAAAAGTTTCCAGGAAAATACTTAAAAACCTAACATGTAATGATGGCTAAATATTTTATAACATCTAGGGGCATTTGCAAACATTATGATTTGTTACTCCACTGCTTCCACCCCCCCCCCCCCTTTTCATTCTGGTGCTTACACGTTCGTCAGGTTTCAGGCGTCAAGATCTTTTATAGATGAGAAGACAGAAATGATAGCACGACTCCAGCGGGAGACGGTGGATCTGGAGGAATCCATGCGAGAGACGCAAGAGAAGAGCAAGTGAGGCTGCCACGCGCGGCGCACTGCTGCATCGTCTGACCCTCGCACTCACACGACCCTGCCCTTGTTAACGGTCTGCAGAAAGAGAAAGCAGAATGAACGATGCCGACACTTGGCTTCCCGTCAAATTGTTCGTGTTTGATGCGTGTAAAGCAATGCTGTCTGAACCTCTCATTACAAGAGAAAAAAATGCCACAATTTTTTGTTATATAAATAAAGATTATCAGACACAGCACTGCGTATATTTAAATCATCATTTACCATATATAATTCAGTCGATTTTGATTTCACACTGTGCTATAAACAACTTGAGTTCAATTCCTAGTCACGGTTAACAATATAGCCAAGTGATATCCGAACCAGTACTAGGCCTTATCTTTACCAAACCTCACTGACCAGTGTGGTGAAGTATGGACAAACAACCCCCATGACCAACATGGCACGGTGAGGCCTTCATCCAGCAGTGGATTGACAAAGGACTGTCGTCTAATATTTCAAAAATGTTATTGTGTATGTTCACCACAGCTGCAGGATCTGGCCAAAGGTAAACAATGTTGGAGAGATATGGTGGTATCAACGGCTTTGGCCATGATGACCCTTTTTATCTTGAATTCCATATTTAAAGTGTCAGTAACACCGCTATGCTGAACTGTTTATATTCTATGATGTAAAAGGGGCTACGTCAGATAACACGAAGGGGCACTATGCTCGCATGGAAGTGGCAGTCATGACATTGTTGCACAGAGGTAATGTTCGGCTTATTATAAAGCCCATCTCTATGTACTAATGAAGTCATTTCTGTGTGAGATGGCGGCAGTGAAACATGAATTAATAAGTGTGAGTCTGTTCGTGCTATGGATATACCATGTCCTAGCCCTTTTTAGCATGCCCCACATTCTTTTTTTCCTAATTATGACTTATTTTGTTCACATTTTCACATCTCCCATTTTAATGGCAGGGCAGTAATGAATTCCTACAACCAGCAGCTTGAAGAGCACAAGGAATGGCTGGCAAAGGCACGGCACGAAAGGTGAGATTTATTGGCTTAGGTTAAGAAGAGGAAACATTTATTTTACACGAGATGGGAACCGGTGAGCCACACAACTCTCGGAAGTTCACGAGCTTTTTCCACTCACGAATTTAAAATGCAAAACTTTATTCGCAGCTTCTGACTGCTGAAAGGTTGAATGCATATATCCATTTTGTCTCGTGAGCGTTTTCTGCTAAACAATGCAATCCTCTACAGGATTCCTCCTGCTTCTCGTAACGCTGTGTATCTTTTGTGAGGATGGCGGTAATCTCCGAGAAGGAAAGTATCCAGATGGAGATCAGGGAAATGCGAGCAGAAGCAAACAAGTTCATTCTGCAGCTGGACGGCCAGCTTGAGAAGGATGCGCAGAAGCAGAGAGAACTCACAGATGAGGTTGGTACATTTCCTGCATGCTTAATTACAATACACATGCCCAAATGAATGTTACATTTTTCATTTATATGTAGTGACATCGCGGATGTCACTGTGTGGTGCCGGCCCTAGAGAGGCACGGCGTGTGATGTACTCACATCGCGGACACCACGTATGTAGCGACATCGTGAATGTCACTGGGTAATGCCGGCTCTAGCGAGGCATGGCGTGCGATGCATTGTCATCGCGGACACCCCGTAGGTGGGTGTAGTACCAGCCCTAGAGGGGGCTCGGTGAGCGCTGGGAGAGCGCTCAGTGGCACCACGCGTGGTGTGCAGTGCCGACCTCTATAGGAGGGAGTGGGAGAGTGTCAGCCATGGGATGAGGTTACCCTGGGCCATGGCACTCTGGTTGACCCTGGAAGGCACGTGACCAGTAAGATCTACACAGGGGCCCCAGGTGAGGGCTTGGGGGGTGGTCACGTGTCAGGGTGAGATCCTACGGGAAGGGTCGAGAAACGACAAAGAGGTTTCTTGAAGGTGGTCGTGACCAAGGGCGGGGCCAGCCACGACCCGGGAGCAGGTAAACCGGCTCCGCACGGGGACCGGGGCTCAGCGTTGCTGTTGTCATCTGAAGATCTACGATCTACGTTCTACGTCCAATAAGAAGTCACCAACACGTGGACGAGGACCCAAGCCAGGACCCTGTCCGTTGTAGCTACTCCCAGTGACTATCGTAGTTAGCCTGGTGGTCCACCACCATCGGTTATCTGGAAAAGGGCAGTAACCCCTTTGTGTTAATGTGTTGGTGTTCATAAATGTGTGTTGCCCCCAAAGAGTACGTCTGCGACTCAGTTAAATCCACTACATATGTATGTTAAAATTATATTTTTTGTTTAAGGTGGTGGCGTGGTGCAATCATGCACATAGCTCCTGTTTTAGCCACAGTAGCTTATATATCTTCAGTTGAGTGTTTAAAACAAACATTTTCAGAAATAACTAGCTTGTAAAGGGACTTTTAAATAACATAGAATGGTACATTTTGGCGATGATGTGTTGGCAGTGGTAGATAAGCAAACAAATAACTAAAACGCTGGGCATTCGTCAATTGAAAAATTTACGTAACTGATGTGTCAGGCAATTGCCCTGCTTCATAGCACACGAATGAAAATGGTGTATTTGGGCTACTTAAAAAAAATGGACATTCACTGTATTATCATAAAATATACAATCTAAGCAAAAAGCAATAAACACATCTGAAATGATCTCAAAGCTGAAAACGTATCACCTGTCCTGGATTATAGAAATTGAACAAATTACAACCTATACAGAATTCCACAAGATTCAATTTCATTTGGGAAAGCTTACAAAATCTTGCAAATGTCATTGAAAAGGTGAACTGAAGACGCATCTTTTTTTCCAACGTGTAGTCCAGGCAGCTGCAAACGGAGATAGCGGAGAAAATCCAGATGATCCCCGGTCTGCAGCAGCACCTGACAGAAGAAAAGGAGCAGTGTCGTCATCTGGAATGCGAGCTGACGGCCTGCGTCAAACGCATCGAGGTCTGTGCTCTTAATCTCCAGCACCCACCCCCACACTTACAGGAGTATCTGTATTCTGCCAACAGAAAATGGAAGTAGCGTCCTTATAGGTTGTGTGCGTTTGTGTATGTGCACAGGGGTTTTATTCACGCCTGCATGCATGTTCATTCATTGCAAGTGATACTCTAAATATATTATCCTGGGATTTTTTTCACAATATACTGCTTTAAAAAATACTTCAAATGAGAATTGCATCGAGTTTAATATCTACATGATTAATCAAACATTTCATTGTATGGTTTAGAGCCCGTTTTCCCAAAGTTACCTGAAAATAATGTCCATTATCTGTGGTTATGTAAATACTGATTGGCAGATCTCACTTGCAGGAAGACGTGATGATATCTCAGCATCTTCCCAATAGTTTACCCTCAAACAATGAAGCAATAACACTTGAAGTTGTATCAATTGCGTTCAGGAGGAGTTGGTGCGAGTGACAGAAGTTTGTGAGCAGAAGGAGCAAGAGATGCAGCAGACAGCCCCTGTTCTGCAACAGCTGCAAGCCGAGCTGCAGGGGGCACAGAAGCTGTACAACGAGAGGAAGCACGAGATCGCAGGTGGTGCCTGGGGCATCACCAAGGCCTGGGAGGGGTGCCCAGTCTGTGAATGTTAAGACTAATACGCCCTTTATATATCCAGAAAGCTTCCACGTGGGACGAAATTTGAATAGCCAGAGAAGACCCGCACGGAGGGTGTATCACTCAAAAGCTCCCCTGTGAGGAATTTCATAATCTATTGCGGTACTTCCATCTCTTTGCATTGCAGCCGAAGCCTACAGCACCTGGTGTTTGTTTCCAGACTGCAGCCCCAATAACATTCAGAGGGACTGAGCCCCCTGTTAATTATTAAGTCAAACATTTTTGGAACATTCACATCGGGAATGAGAGCTAGAGCAGAATACATGATAAACAAGAGCAGAACTTACCGTTACTTGTTCTGTTTGGCATTTCACATTTTCAGCAAAGTTATTATTTAAGATGGTTAACCAAATCCATGAATGAGTTTTTTCATGATTAGTTATGTTTGGCGTCTAAAATCAGTTTAAAGTTTAACGTTGAATGTTAAATGCCCCCTTATTTTTAAATAAGGTCAGAGTTCATGGTTGCCAGACAATCCGCTAAGTACTAACCAGACTGGTTAGTAGTTAGCTTCTGAAGGATCATTCAGCGTGATATGGCCTAAATAACCACTCACTTTCTCACCAGCCTGAAATTGAGGCTTTCATAACACAAACGCGTGGCGATGGCAAGAATGAATACCCCATCCTCTAGAATGTCAATTTATTTTATAGAGCATTAGGTACAAACAACCCTCACTTGTACTTACATGCTGGTAAGAGGAGCTGGGAGAGTATATCATCTTACCTGACCATGTAGACGCATTTCTTAATTGCTGCGACATTGATCGATATGACATGTTAAATATTACAAATGCTCCTGTACATTAGTACATCACTCAGAGAAGCCCTGATGAAGCCCTGAGAGGCGGTATCATTCACCATTGCGGAGTACAGACACAAGGCAATTGGTTCCAATGCATATCGGTAGGCACTAACGTATTAAGACATATATATTTTACACCCCGGGTGGGCTTTACTCATATTTTCAAGGATTAGGGCCGAGATGCTGGAGTCAAATAAAACAATCATTGCACCTGCTGTGATCATGGGAAACCACGTGAATGTGGCCTCTGCCGCTGCGCAAACACCCCCCAGGCCCGTGGCTCCTTCACCCTCTCTCAACATCGCAAGAAATTCTGAAAAACAAACTCTGCACTTCGGATGAAAAAAAAGTCGATTTTCATGATGTGATAAGTGGAGAAATCAAAATGTGAATAAAAACTGGCCCTATGTAGGTTACTCAACGATAGATGCACAATCTGAACTCACCTACAGCCACCTTAAAAAAAGCCCGCACACTATTGGACTTTGATCCACGAGAATGCAGATTTACACCGACTGCGGGTAAATCCACAGACTGCAGTAATTTACTGTGCACGTATTTAATGGACAACTCTTCTAAATTGCAGCCATTAAGAGTAAAAGGAGACAGATGGAAGAAATGTCACGTCAGATGCAACAGGAAATCGAAAACTTCAGCACATCAAAGGTAGTACTTAATTATCCACGCCTAATGTAACTGTACCACATTAAGATGTTTAGTGGGGTAGGTTGCTATTGTCCACTGCTGTACATTTCACAGTTGTGTATTTAAACAATTAAATGTTATAGACATTCCATTTGGCCTTAAGACTGTAAGCAAGTGCTATGAACGACCACTTATTTAGACCACCAATGCTTACAGGGCTGGCGTGGCCAGTACCATATCTAACTTTGCCTTTCTAAGCAGTATTGATGGTGACTACACCACAGCCCCAATTAACTATTTTAGCCAAGCTAAAGCAGAACAAAGTTGTTCTTTGATAATTGTCATTGTCACCGTGCAATCAGTAATCAGACCCATGACACTGGGATCGTAGTGTCTGTTACGCTGACTGCTATACCATATGCACACACGCACACATTTGTTACAGGGACAGTTGCAATCAGAGTTGCGAGAGGCCAGAAATGAGTTTCTGCAGCAACTCAAAGACCAAGGAGATGAGCTGCAGGCGCTGGAGACAAACATTTATGAGACATGTGGGAAACGGGAACAAGTTACGATGGAAAACTGCCGATTTAAGCTGGTCAGAATTAACTATCTTCTCCTCCAACAGGGGTCGGGAACCTTTTTAACTTGGGAGAGCCATAAAAGCCAAATATTTCTAAATATATTTCATTGAGAGCCATATAGTATTTTTAACGTATAATAAATGAAATATGTCTTACTTTTAATGCCACTTCTGGTGCTACGTGGTTTTGCAGATGGCCTTGTAGTCAGGTTCATACGTGGTGAGGTTGAGCTTCGTGCAAGCGTGACCCGTGAAATTTATCTTCAAAACTAATTTCTGTTTACTTTAAAATGACACGGTATTATTAAGCAATATCACAAGTATTTTAAAATCAGTTCCAAACTGATTTTTTTTTCAACTCAAAATTGTCTGGGAGCCATATGCCGTCACTGGAAGAGCTATATATGGCTCGCGAGCCATAGGTTCCCGACCGCTGTCCTACAACATGAACGTTGCGCGCGATTAAACGCATTTAGTTGGTTGTTTTGTGACTTAATGTCATCAAGCTGACTTTTAACCTCATTGTAAATCACTGTCAGTGTAATGTCAAGTTTGCAGAAGACATTACCCAACTTGAAACCGATGCTGAAAATCACAAGCAAGCCATGAAAGACCTTGAGAAAAATCGTTACACTTTGGAAGGTTGGTGTTTATTTTAACGTTGAAAGAAGTAACCATCCGATTATGATATACGAAGTAATTTTAATATATGGAGCAATGTATTTTTAACTTCGTTCGCACCGTATGTAACCAACCGTGATAATCGTAATTGCAGGGAATATTCCTTAACAGCTACACAAATCTAGCCTTTAAACTTGTTTACCATACATTTTTTCCCTTTTTTTAGCAAACCTCCAAGAAGGCTGGGTGAAATGTGCCAAGTCTCAGAAGGTAGGATTAATACCGCTTGTGTTCATGCCATTACCGTGCCTAACGATGGCTGTAATAAGAATCTGGGGATCGCTAACCACACTTATTTTAAAGATAGATTTTTCCAACCCATTGGGAGGGAATTTTTCTTTGGATAATCGAGTTTGAATAATGAAAAGAAATGCAATATTTGATCATACAAACATATCGTAGTTGATTGAGCAGAAATCAAAAACACTAACGTGAAATGTCTGCAAAAGAAACTGTCAAAAACAGTCCAGCCGTGTGGGTCACAGTGTTTGAACATGTCTCTCTTAGGAATACGACGAGGGAGATGAGTGCATTGTGGAGAGTCTGCTGGAGCTCATGAAGAGAACCCAGCGACGACAGATGCACATTGGGAAAGTGACCTTGGGACTCGAAGATCAAATGAGTCTCTTTGGTAAAATTCTGGACCGAACGACAAAATCCTGCCCGCTGGGATAGTTTTACTCATGTGCACTTATCGCCTGTGCCCTCAGAAGCAACTGTAAATTTCTTAGAAAAACAAATTCACTTTTTTTGAGTAATTGCACGACTAAGATTGTTTGCATGCATCCATGCAGTTTCTCGTTTAAAATGCCTTATTTTTCAATTTGCACTAGGAATACCTTACAAACTCTGCTTGATGGAAGTGAGGATTCAAGATAGATACCCTTTTTCAAATTTGTATGCAGATGCCAAGATGTCCAAAGAATATTTATGGCAGCTTCACATTTGAAAATTCTTCAAAACATAAAAATCATCTTAAATGAATACTCAGATGTTTGCTTTCTAATAATGTCAGTCTCCTTATGCTTTAATGGATATCAATTGTTTTTACATGTGTGATGTTGTAATCTGTATGTTCATATAAACACTTCCTCTTTTAAGTAAAATAGTAGAAATTTGAACAGCTGTAACACGTTAATTACTTTAACTGATCACCTTGCTTTCACATATCCCCCCTGCACGAGTTGCCATAAACATGAGATGGTAAAGACTTGTTCTTGTTCATTTTATTTTACATCATGACATATTGTACACCTCTACAATATTACAAGCAACAATAAATATAATTACACCAAAAAAGCATACATAACTTATTCCATTGAGTTCAGGTTTTGCAAGCAAATCATATTTCAACATTGATTCAAGAAATTATAGCATCTCCATTTTAACATAAATCACACATTCTCTCTTTATGAAGGATGTACACAAAGGGGTTTATACACAGTTTTTTGTCAGACTATGCTGCTCACCTTGGTCATTCTGAGAAATGCTCATGCAGGACACAAGAAGAATCAATGCAGACTGAGCCTGGCATACCAACAATCTTTATCACCTTTCGGTCTCGTCATTTAAACGAATTTAAACACCCATATTTGCCAAATGTGCTGGCCCAGATTTTTCAATATACACGTTCATTGTGCTGTCCAATGCATAACCATTCCCCCTTCTGTTAACACTGAATCTCCTAGCTGCCTCTGACAACCAAGGCCAGCATGCAATATGGCTAATAAAGATAGTGTTCAAGCTATTCGCTGCTCCACTACCTACTTATCTTGCTACCTGGTGTGATAACTGCACGGCAAAACATATACTAGCAGTGATATTTTCTCTCACCATTACAATTCTCAGTAAAATAGATGAAGAAAACAATTTAACTTCTAAAAATGTAAAAAATAAACCAATGTGAGTGCTGTCAGCAGCACAATATTTTGTACAACCTCTCGTGTAAGATTGGCGGCATCTGCACATGCATTACCAGAGTGCATGTACAACCTCAACCCGCATTGAGCTCCGAGTGGATCCGCTCTGGGTCAGTGAACTTAGCGGTGAGCAGGTAAAAGAGAGCTGGTCCTGGCACAAGTGCCAGCATGGGTAGATCACTCTTCAGGCTTTCCAGGCGGGTGATCGAGATGATGCCATAAGTGTGCACCACCCAGTGGCTCAGCAACACTATCAGGTTTCGCTTGTTGGAGAACAACGTTTGAATGTTCTATGAAAGGGAAGGGAGGTAAACAAAACAAAAACACACTTTTTTATAACATTGCCAAGTTGTGACCTAATCTGTGTGCAAATACTTTATCGGATATCATAACTGTTGACTGTATAAGTCCCGTAGCTGCTGCTATATGTTAACACAAAATGTTGGGAGGCTCCCATGTTAAATTACTGCAAGATGGTGTACTTGATTACATAAGCACAGCTTATTCGCACAGGCACACATAGTGCCCTCTGCTGGATTGTATTTTCCAAATTTCTCCATTTTCAGACTAATTAAATTCCAATGAACACAGTAACATTTTACCATAAAAAAACTACCAAATAAAAGTAACGCATTTAATTGCACAACACAATTTTACATATTGACTGCTCTTCCACTAATTGCGGTGATAAATAAAAATACACTTACCACGATTTTCATTAATGCAAAGTATACAGCACACGTCACAATTGAAAACACCAGTAGAATGAATGGGAAGGCAAAATCTGTAATTGAAGACAAAGGCATTACATTGTTATTTTAAAATAATCTATTTATCGTGTGACCATGCTTAATTTGAACTTGTAAATAACATCACAAAACCATGAGAATAAAATATTAAATACATTCACCATTAACACCCACAATGGAAAACTATGCAATAGACTAAAGCCCCAAACGTAAAGAAGTTTAAAAGGGCCACTACCTGAAATGTTAGCGCATTATATACTATAAATTAACCTATAATATGTGTCTGCAGCGGTGTTAACACAAATATGGTGCATATTTTGTATTTGTTCTTGGGTACTATTGCTAATTTAATTCATAATAATTGAAGAAGAAGATACAATCTGGACAAACTGTAACACTTTTAATGTAATGTGAAAACAAGTGAAGATCAGTAAAGTCAAGGCGTTTATGTGCTCTGTACAAAGGGGACAGGACTGGGCCCTCACAGAGCAAGCCGGCAGACACAGCCTGCACGAGAGTGAGGATGGGGAGAAAGTAGAGCGCGGCATAGATGCTTTGGAAGCGATCCGCCTTGCCCAGGCTGCCGGCAAGGCGCTTCACCAGGAACGGCCGCACCACCATCATGAGCACCAGGCAGAATGCGTAGTAAATGAACACGATTGTGTACCTGTGCGCACAGCAGAGACAGTTATTGACAGGCCCTGCATAACAAGCAAACAACTCACAAAACTAAACAGAATTAATAGCTAAGTAGATGAGATATATGCATCCCATAATAATTGTTTTTTTTTTTACATCACAGCCTGGTTTACATGCAGGCTATTCCGTTGACCAAGCATGCAAACCTATCCAGAGCAATGCACACTATATCAAAAAGAACAAATGCTAGCACACAATCTAGTTTAACGCTGACGTTTCATGTTCTGATAATGGTATCCGTAAGCCCATGGCAAAATGCAACCTTTTGAAATGAAAATGTCTTTCGTATACCAGAATAACCGATTACATCAACAAAAGGAAAATGTAATCCCTGGCTGCGCACATTTTTGAAGCAGCATAACAGCACGACTCGTGCAGTCATCCCGGAGAAGGATAATTGTGCGCAGCGGTGTCATCTGGTGATGAGACCGCTTACTCACAGGGGAAACACTGCCTCCTGCGTGCAGTGGATGGTGTGGATGTAGTCGGGGCTGGGGTTGAACAGCATGGTGTACCAGTCGGAGAGCATGTGCGAGCGGCATGAGCGCACGTGAAAAGAGCCCAACGGGTCACTGAGCAGCACCGTCACCACGGCAGCCGCGCTGCACTCCAACACTGCGGAAAAGTGCAGCAGCAGCGCACTGCACGCAGCGAGAGGGTCACTTGCTGACAAATGGGCATCGCTGGAAAGATAATGGGTGTTCTCTTCACTGCACAGACGAGTGTTTGGAACAGCATGAACACTTCAGGATAATTTTAGCCAAAAAAAAAATTTCATTCGTTTTTAATACGAATAGAAATGCAGCTTTGTGATAAAGGGACTTACATGAAAATAGTTTATTGGATCAAAGAGTTAAAATTTAGGAATTTAAATAATTCCAACTTAATTTTATTATCACTTTCAACAGTTAAAAGGAAAACAAGAAGAGAATATAATACAAGCCTTTTGTTACTTAACTGTTATTCCATGAATATGCAGCCATAACCGTTGGACATTAACATATGGCTGGGCATGAATGTATAATTGTACCTATTTAATCATAACTTCGGTACATATAAATGGTAATCTTGCAAACATTACAAAACATAAAAAAATGTTTATAAACAATAAAAGAGGGCTCATCAGAAAGCCCACATACATCTATAAGCAGCAAATCATGAATAATCACGTGTGACACATTCGACAACATATTAGCCAGCTTGGGATTTGGACACTCGTGATCTTATGATAAAAAAACATCAGCAGCTGCTTTGTGACAGCAACCATATGGGCACCGTGCACACCTCTTCCTCCGCGAGTACCACTCGATGAAGAACCAGTGCAGGATGAGGGGAAGCATGGCCATAAAGCCGAGGTACAGCCAGTCATAAAGGTTTGGAGATTCCTCGCAGCGTTGACAAAACTTGTCCTTGTCCGGCCTCTCGCCCCGAGGGCACGCCTAGATCAAAACAGCCGTGCAATCACTCTCATGAAGTGCAAATCAAAACACCACGATAAAAAAAAAATTCTTAAAATGCAATTCTTAATTGTGTGCCATAAGTATACAGCAATTCCTCACCAACCACATGGATTAGGTTTCTGGAAAATACCGTGGTAGACAAATCATAGCTTAACTTGCTTGTTTATTAACTAAACACAGTACATTACACAATAACATAATAAAACATAAATAAACATTACATTACCTTTAATATTAACGATGATGATGACGATGATGACAGTGAGATGATGGGGCAAGGGGTAGTTAGAAGGGGTTCAGCCCACCCTCCTCACCCCACCCTCCCTCTCTACTTCTGGGGCATCAATGACAGATGAGTGGCCAGGCGTACATATACGTTATCAGAACGGATTCTGAAGAAAAACTTAAATAAAATAACTTTATCGGTACGTCTTCCAACCTGAAGATGTGCCGATAAAATTATTTTATTAGAGGCTCCTACAAGGCCATGCAGGAGGGCGTGTGGCACAGTTTGGTGCCAGCTATCAGAGTGTGGTCATGTTGCTACAGTTCTCTGCGGTGAGTACAGTACAATGTATTTTAAAATAACGGCGCTCTGCCTCTAAATAAAATTTACGTGACCTGCTTGAGCGTTCCAAGATTCAACGGTGAGCAGGACCCACGCTGCAATTTGCCGATATCTCGGAATGGGAAAGGTAAACGTGAATGTGGTTGCGGTGCGACGCTGTCTATGCACTGCGAGAATTACAGCACACACAACAAAAGAGACGAACAGCCGTGGCACTGAAGACAACTGCAGCCGATCAACACGTAAAGGCGTGTTGCGGACCCGTGCTTACCAGCGGATACTCAAATTTCCAGACCGCGGTTGGTAAATTGGTTTACAAATAATAAACCGTGTATACATGAAACCGCGTTTGTCAAAGTATTCCTGTATTACAAAATGAAAGCAAAGTTTAATGTAGAGATGTGCAGATTAACATGTGCATTTATCTTTACAATAATAACAGAGAGACGAATACTCACGCCACATTCACTGTATGTATCATTTCCGCCGAGCTGGCGTCGCCCGCAGTAGATGCCAGGGCACAACTGCTGCATGTCCACAGCTGGAAGGGAATAAGTGCATTATAATCATATGTATATCTATAATGACATTTTAAATGTTTGTCCTGGTTACAAGTGTTTTAATCCATTTTGAATAGCTAATTGATAAATTAATTTTGAGCCAATATGTAATTAGTGTCATCATGAAATTGTGACTTGTATGCTCAAATCAGGGTCTTAAAACGAAAATCCTGAATCATTTCTTCAGCATATTTTTATTTATTTATGGTGCTATGTAAATTGTTGTTGTATTCCTCTCTGACCATTTGATATAAACCAGCCAACAGCCAAGCAAAGTAATCCAATACTTAGCTTTCATCCTTTGCTAGCAATTTGGGGACATGCATGCAAATATTCATTTTAAAAAGAAACACAGGACAGTTGTGGCACCTAGAGTATGTAAGCCACAGGACTTAACTGACCAACTTTCACTAAAATGTTTGTCATTTTGTCCATGACTGCCCAAGCATCCTATAAAGTATAACCTGCACTATAATTTCTGCTAACAAGGATAAAGGTACTGGCATTTATTCAGCAAAAAACCGACACAGAAACAAACAGCCTCCAATGGCCTGAGGTTTAAAAACCAATCCGCTTTGATCATTGTAGCGTGATGACATGAAAGTCAAAAGTACACAAAACCCTTAAATCCCCGTGGGGTATTTTAAAAAACATATCAGTGGGAGGTTTGGAAATTATTTCTGTGACCGTGCCCTGACTTCGCTAATGTTCTACCATGGCATGACTTAAGTTGGCTCATTAAGCCTCTGATTAAATAATTGCCTCCATGACATCTGCTGAGTGGAATTTATGGACAATGGCTTGCAAACCTCTTCACCGTCATACACAGGGCAGATACAATCCCAAGAGAATTCAAGCGAGCTAAAGTCATCGCCATTCTGAAACCAAGAAATCCCTCCAGCTACAAGCCAATATCCCTTTTCCCTCCACGCTGATGGAACGTGCCATTCTTGCCAGACTTTCTCCCACTATCGATTCCCAACTGCCTCCCGAATAAGCAGGATTTCGAACTGGCTTTAGCTGCTGCAAACAGATAGTTGCCTTCATCATCCTCATAGAAGCTGGTTTCCAGCATCATCAGATAACTGGTACAGCAATGAGTGACCTCTCTTCTGCCTATAAACTGCTTGACGTCATGGCCTACTGCTGAAATTGGCCAAAATTATCAAACGTTGTACTATCGCACGATGCTCAGCAACCGTACTTTCAGGGTACACCTCTCTGGTAAACACATACACAAGAGAATAATGAACAATGGCGTCCCTCAAGGCTCATTAAGAGCACCGCCACTATTTAACATATATCAGAATCTTGATTAGGACTGGTGGACTCTGATGAGCTATGAAGCTCTTCACTGATGTCCAGTAAATATATGTGGCCTGCCATAGGCATCATCTAACAAGTTCATATCTGTAGATAACATAGTCCTTGCTGTACAGGGTATAAAGCTCGAGAACATTGCCAATACAGCTGATCTAACGTTTTGGAGACATTTCCATCACTGGAGACTGACCAAATCTTTCCAAAGCCACCCACAAATGCTTTCCAGCTGAACAATCATGCAGCAGATGTCACCCTTGATGTGTCCTTCTGTGATCCTACTCCTAGATAGATATCTAGGGGTTAGCATGGATAGAAGCCTGACCTTCAAGCCCCACATTAAACAGATCTGTGAGAAGACCAAAAGAAGAATCACACTGCTACAGAAACTTGCCTAAACGACCGGAGGCGCTTCAGCCGATGTGCTGCAAACTTCTGACCAATCACTACTTAGTGGCAGGCTATTGTGCTCCAGCCTGGTCCGGGAGCTCACACATAAAACTGCTCGATGCATTATGGAATGCGCATCATTACCAACACTGAAATAGACACTTAATTCCCTGGATCCCTGTTCTCGCGAATATTCTGCCAATAAATATCCACAGACATGCTAGCTGAAAAGGAGTTCATACCTTTTTTTCACAACGACAACCTACCTATCATCCAAGACCTTAACAATGTACCTCAAGTCCTGATACCCCTTCTGGGATGACACCATCACCATCCTAATATCTCACCCAGATACAAAAGAATGCTGACAAACAGAATTATAAGAACACGGACATCCAGAATTTGAGATGGAAAAAGAGGCCACAATTTAACTGTGGTCATGCAATCCAAACTATGGACTATATATTAAACCACTGTCATATCCGCTAATTCAATGGAGGAACAGCAAAACAACAAGCCCTCTCCTGAAGCTCCCTCGTGGAGAGCAGACCTGACATTGGCATTTAGCTCCTGAATATATTGCTGCCATACGCTAGAATAGAATAGTGGAATATAAATCCATGCAGTTTGTTATTTGGAGGGACATGGTAATATTACCATTAATACCACGCAGTAATAACATACTTATCCAACAATAATCCATGCATATACCAATACACCATTAGGCAGTAAACTCATCACACAGCAATACTTCAATTACAGTGATCCACAGATACACACTAATGCTTTACATTATTACATGCTATGTGTAATATTAAGGAGATTGTAGCATAACATTTACCAAAAAATTTACTCAGGGCACATGGAAACCAATAACTGATATTGGTTTGCAATATCCCAGAAGTTTATTTACATTTTCAATACAATGAAAATCCCTGCATGGGTTAATAGGGCACTGCATTTAATATAATAACACAGGCAAAACGCATCTATTCTCATATCAACTACACTATTCACAAAATCATCTCATGTATTAAATGCACCTTTTCCCACGTTACAGTTGCACAATTTTGTGTCGAAAGAATAAGGAAGTCACATGTCCCTTGTCCATGGGAATTGTACTTTTATGTAGTACAAATGCAAATTGTTAGTGGTGTTCGAATGTTAACAATTACTGTAGTAGCTTATGAGTCTGTCTGCGTAAGTACATGCAAATACATTTAGCACTGTTACAAAAAACAGTGCTAAATAGTTGATCATACAATCAACTATTTTTTAAAGTTAATCTGAGTATCTTATCCCTTATTCACAAAGGCGCCCTGGGCATTAGTGGCAAAATATGAGCGTTACCTGTAAATACTGTAATATTTACTGTATGATACTGCCTGATAATAGAATACAGCAAATGAATAAGATGTTGGCAAGTGTTTTTCTTACCGAGAGATAATGTATTGCATATGTAATGTTATAGGTGCCCTCCCAAAACATTGGTCTATTAAAAATTGTATTGTACAGTTGCATTAAACAATTAGGCTCAGTGACATATTAGAGTATATAAAATCAAAATCAATCCTCACCATCAAATAAAAATGGGTAATTTGAACAAAAAAACACAGAGTTGAATAATACCTCTGAAGAGACAGCTGTCATTTTCACTCTTTTTATAATCCTGTACTCAGTGCTTTCTGCTTATTTATGTAATAACATGCCAAGATAATAAGTAATGTGAAGGGTTTTTTATATTCTCTAAGATTTAAAGAATATTCTGGCAACAGAATTATATTAATCAGAGCACAAATTGAAAAGTTAGAGCAATTTTAAATTAACCGTTTCAGCCTTCTGTATTCAAACACTGCAACCTCTTAGGGGTGATTGTGATGTCTTCCGAACTTTGGTGGTAACAGTCTGCAGCCACTAACAGAGTTATTGTTGGGGTGGAGAGGAGCCCTGCCAGCAGCCATCCAGGAAACCCGAGGCATAGATGATAACATTCAGGGAAATCTGGTTATTTTATTTACACTCTAAACGACCAAATAATTTCATAAAGACAATTTATCAATTTTCTCCGCATGTCTGTATTTGATGCATTTATTTTGAAAAATGTGAGGTGGTGTATGGGGATACCATCGTAAGATACAATCTTTTCAGAAATTCATTCAGTGACCCACTTTCTGCAGAAAAGCTGGACTTTTTGTCAAAGGTCTAAGATTTTTTTTATTCATGATCTACTATGCTATATCCACTGCCGGATAAAGGCCTCAACAAGTCACCATCATCCTTCATGGTTCCACGATGCAACAATTCACCCAGCACCTACACATGAGCTGATTTTATGCTCAATCTCTTCTCGTGTGCTCTCACTCCTTTGACCACTGGTTCGTTATCCTTGCCCACTGGCTATATACAGTGGTGACGTCTCCTGCCTAAGCGCCAGTTTATTCCTTTAACCTGCATCGTTCTCTAATCCGTGGTATTCTTTCTTTCTCAGTGTAATCATAAGCATGCATCTCTCCACGCTCCTCTGTGTACGTTTGAGATTGTTTTCCATCCTCTTTATCGATAACCATGTTTCTGCTCCATTTCATACAGGAAATAAACACGGATTAAAATGTTTCCCCTTCAGACACATTGGGATGTTGCTTTTCATTACCAAGTCCAGATTTCCAAAAACATTAAAATTAACCCACATTATATTGATCTCAGTTCTAGTTCAATAACTGCCATTGGTTCACATTATGTTGCTGTTTTCCAGCCATGTTCCCTTCACAATGTTTCTACTTATTTAGCAAACTTGTTGTACGTGAATTTTGTTTTCCCAATATTTACTTTCAGCCCAACATTGCAGCCTTCTCCATGAAGATGTTCTACTCTTGTCTGTGATTCATTCCCATTTGACGTTATAATGACTATACAACTAGAAAATCTGAGATGATTAATAAGTTCTCTATTTGTTTGCCTTTGTTCCTCCAATCAATTTTTTGCAAAACATCACCCCATGTTCCTGTGAATAACATTGGCGGCGAAACCGTGTCTCTTATTTAGCTGGCCTGCCGCTCCTGACACAATTATACGACTCAGCCACTTAAATGTAAAATTATAGTTGTTGCTCCACGTTAGCCATACGAAGAGCGTCTTCAAAGTCTGGGCATTATGGTATTTGATCTAAACGGTCAGTGGTAGAACACGTCCACATTGCTTACGTAGTTTGTGTGGCTTATATACATCGTCCATTATTCAGCTCTCTGTGATAGTGAACAATGTATATAATAGTACTGTATAAACATGCATTTGCTAGTGATCAAACAAATCTGTTTAGCACGTAGGCTTTCGCGACCGACCTAACCCAAAAAGCTCTATTATAGATTTTTAAAATGTTGGCATCTTATAACTTTTAGGTTGACGTTCTAATAAAAACACAAAGGACAAGTATTCAGCATTACAAACCAACAAAGAATACCAAGGTAGAAATACATATAAACAATCGACAACACGTACGCATGGTGTAAGGAGACCGAGATGTGGTGGGAGAGGTGGTCGCTCCTCGCCGCCTCTGGCCGGGTTTGAGGCTTCGTTGCCGGCTGCCGATCCAGTCGAGGTCGGTCACGCACTTGCGAACTAGGCCTTACCGGCCTTAAGTCCTCAAAAACGCACTAAACACGAACAAAAACAGCCCAGTTAAGCCGTGCAGCCATCGCAAGAGTTACTAGTAAATGTTTAAAATCACAAGTGTAAGTTTATATTGACGGCGCTTTAGTTAGGGGGGTGAACGCGTGAGACGGAGACGCACCAACCCGGACGTGACCGGGTCCCCCCCACGCGATGCCAGACCAGAGGTTTAATTACTCCGTATTCTTTTAAGTTTCGTTTTTAAGATTTTTTATTTTGTTGACAATATAACTTATAACACAGGTGAGATGTTATACGAGGTGACGTTAAGGTTTCAGGTTTAACACGCAGGCTTTCGCGACCAATGTTATTCCATAAGATTTTTTTTTACGGGTGAGATCGTGTAAACATGTTTCGTTTATTTAAAGTCACGTAGAAGGGAAATAATGATAAAATAAAACAAATATCAAACAATAAAAATTCTCACGACGTTCCACAGCGAGAACAGCTGTGGATTTCACACCTGATGACGATTGCTTGTGTTGCAGTCGAAACGTCGTGAGAATTGTATTGTTTGATATTTTTTATTATTTTATTGTTTCCCTTCTACGTGACTTTACCGAAAGAACCAAGAACAGGTGTTAAGATGTTAAAACACCTAACATAAACATTGTGAAAGCAATAATGTCTGCGTTAACCACACGTACTTACACCATTGGAACCTCCTTTGCCAGTAGCACAATGATACTTGGTTTTTTACCCTTTTATCTGGCAACAAAACTGACACCTTTTTTTTACAAAGAGTCATGTTTGCATTGACCACAATACCTGCAGTCGGAATGCAAACAAAAACACAACTCTGATAATGTATGCACTGTCCTTGAAATTGTGCCTTTTGGTGTCATCTGGTCCAACACCATGTGAGACTAGGCTCTAAAGAAAGCTGTCTCTGGTGTGGACCAATCAGTTTCAAAGACAATGCACAAATTATCAGTGTTATATTCTTAGGTTTTTTCGGTAAAGTCACGTAGGTAAAAACATGAAAAAGTAAAATAAAATAAAAGTAAAATAAAATAAAAATTATTTTATTTTACTTTTGCATGTTTTTACCTACGTGACTTAACCGAAAAAACCTAAGAATATGAATCATTGCAGTCACGAAAGCTTCAAATCTAGAATTATCAGAGTATTGTTTTTTGTATGCATTTGACTGCAAGTATTGTGGTTAATGTAAGCATAATTCCTTGCAAAAGGTATCAGTTTTGTTGCAAGAAAAAAGGGGGAAAACCCTATTAGTTAACAAACCTATTCTTATTCTTAGGTTTTTTCGGTAAAGTCACGTAGGTAAAAAAATATAATTAATAAAAGTAAAATAAAATAAAACCTATTCTTACATTTTGATACTGGCCAGGGAGGTCCCACGATGCAGAAACAAGTTCGCTCGGCTAAACAACCCGAACTTTGATTCCATTATGTAACACAATTTTTGCTAATGGTTAGTGTTATTTTCTAATTGCTTATACCTCAAAAGTACATACAATAGCTGTTATTCATCCCAAACAAATTTTGCTTTTGTGACCAGAACTTGCACACGTTTTCGCATTGAAAATAGGTACATTTCAAAATATCACTATCCTGGTCACAAAAGCAAAGTTTGTGGGGAATAATAACCATTTTCTGTACTTTTGAGGCATAACCAATTAGAAAATAACACTTACTACCCAGGAACAAACAATAATTGTTACACAGTGACTATTACATCCCGAAGCGTTGTGCATAATAAGCGTACGTGTCTGTAGACGGACCGCAAGTTAAACTCTCCCACGGTCCCATATCTCTTAGCGGTAAAAACAACAACAACAAGCTTCGCGGTGCTGTCCGCAACCGATACAAAAACAAAGTTTTTATTTAAAAAACAAAGTTTTTATTTTAAAAACGCGTTTGTAAAACGGATGCCTCGGAGGCGGAAAAGGAAAAAGCCGCCGCCCGCTCCCTCACGGGATCCCGTAGCAGCTGACGCCATTCACGTGACCGGCCCCTTCCCGCGGTGCGAGCAAGTGACGGTCGCGAGCGATACAATCACAACAACAACAACAATCACCAGCGGCAATTATAACAACTATGCTTGCCTCTGGTCATTCATGGTGACAATTATAACGATGACGGCTAGACCGTGTCGATCTGCTGCTTGCGAGTTTTAAGCCAGGCAACTTTCAGGCGTGGCGGCCACGGAGTGAGTGGAACGCGGCGACTTTGTGGACCTGAATTCAACCAGGTGAGATCACACTGAGATGTGACCGGTTGACGGGCTTAATGATAATTCAACCAGGTGAGATCACACTGAGATGTGACCGGTTGACGGGCTTAATGATAATTCAACCAGGTGAGATCACACTGAGATGTGACCGGTTGACGGGCTTAATGATAATTCAACCAGGTGAGATCACACTGAGATGTGACCGGTTGACGGGCTTAATGATAATTCAACCAGGTGAGATCACACTGAGATGTGACCGGTTGACGGGCTTAATGATAATTCAACCAGGTGAGATCACACTGAGATGTGACCGGTTGACAGGTTATATGATTATTCAACCAGGTGAGGGGCTATATGATTATTCAAACAGGTGAGATCCCTTTGAGATGTGACCGGTGAGGGGCTTATATGATTATTCAACCAGGTGAGGGGCTATATGATTATTCAAACAGGTGAGGTCCCTTTGAGATGTGACCGGTGAGGGGCTTATATGATTATTCAACCAGGTGATGGCCCACTGAGATGACTGGTTGACAGGTTATATAATTAATTATTCAACCAGGTGAGGTCCCTCTGACCGGTTGACGGGCTATATAATAATTGAACCAGGCGAGGTCCCACAGATGTCACCGGTTGACAGGTTATATGATTATTCAAGCAGGGGAGGTCCCTCTGACCTGTTGATGGGCTATGATTATTTAACCAGGTGAGGCCCCACTGAGATGTGACCAGATAACGGGCTATTTGATTATGCAGCCAGATAAGTTCCTTCTAAGACGTTACCAGATGAGGTCCATCTGATTAATCATTCAACCATATTAAGATTATTATGGCAATACTTTATTGTATAAGGAGAGGTTTCTCATTCAATGTCCCATTGATTATAAACATTTTTGGGAGAATGAGTGCCTGAGCAATGCCCATTTTCGTGCATTTGCTACGCTTGAAAATACTAAAATATACCTTATGCTTAGTGCTCAATGGGTAGATGTACTTTTGCAATTTTAAAAGTTCTGCTCTACCATGACTAAGTTCTGTGTGTAGAGCCTCTCACGTGTGACCAAATTTCATACACTTTATAAAACAAATTTGAGTAAGTGGTGTGTAAATGATTCATATTTCTTAATCTATTGTATGTTATAATCATATGGTGGCAGTTGTTAATACTCTTTGATTGAACCATGGCTGTGAATATATTTTTTTAGTACAGTAAACGAGTGCTTATTTCATGGCAGCTAAATTATCATTCTGTAATAAAAGTGTTGTTGTTCATGAGGGCACAGGGCCATGGCATCCAGCAAGTACCAAACGGTTGTGGAGGGGGAGGCCTCGGAGACCGACTCAGATGAGGAGGTGTGTACCACTTCAGTATCAGCAGAACCCAGCGCATGCGTGCTGGTCACAGGAGAGGCTTCCGAAACGGACGAGGATGAAGGGGAGGAAGCAGAAGAAGAGGTGAAAGCTGCCCATAACAACGGTCTGATACAACACGAGGACCTGACCTCGCTGACAGGGCAAGGTGCCATCTCATCGTTGACTGTGGAGAGGAGACCCGGGAGGGTGGAGATCTGCGGCGAGACAGAAGTGCCCGCGCAAATCTCCCGGCCACCGGGGACGAGGAGTTACAACACGCTGCTGCAACTGAAGCTCCGAGAAAGCAATGCGCGTCTGCGGGGTGACGTGGCCGAGATGGTGCGCAAGGCATACACCACGGCCGCCAGGGACGTGCGCAACACCACGCAGCGGCTGGGCGACTCACAGGTGGTCATCATAGAGGCGTCAAACAGCCTGCACCAAGCCCTGGACAACCTACACAGCATCCGCGACAAGATGGACATCATCACCAGCTGCAATTTGCTGCCAGAAATCCACCTGCCTGCCGAGTACAAGCCTTCCTGATGCCTCTCACTGAAGGGTTATCTTATACACCTGAATAAATACAAATATACAAATCCCAGGAACACGTTTGTTGAATTCATATAACATGTTTTTCAATGTATTTGTTGATTTGTCTTGGTCCATGTAATGTATAAATAAATAGTTTTGCAGAATTAATGTATCATTATGCAATGCATAACTATACTGTTTATGCAATGCATACTGTTATTGCATTGCATAAACAGTATGTTTTGTAATCGGTGGCACAGTGGTTATGACCAAGACTAACGTAAATCGTGAATGATATGTGAACCTATCATAGTCAACCCTGGCTGACCAAGAGCCCCCATGAGCAACAGGGGAGGCCTTCCGGAATTGTTTGGCAAGGGCTAAAATCATGATGGTAGAATCCAAAATATTTAAGCAATGAACAATAATTTTTATTTGATCCTTAATTATGTGTCAGTGCAAGACAAATGGCTTGAATTACTTAAACAAATTATTTGGTGTGTTTTCTTCCGTTTTTTGAAGCAGCAGCAATTTGTAAAAGAGGTGTATCTCAATTTTCACTTGATTGTTGCCAGATGTGAAATCCTCAAAATGCTGGGTACTATACTGCATTTGATCAATTCTAAAATGCCTTATAGGTCACTTAAATGTTTAAAGGTTATGCTTTACAACAATGTGTACCTCTAGACATTTATTTTTATCCCCCCTCCACCGAGTGTATTGTTATTCTGCCTGTGTAATTTCTATTGAGATATGTGCACCTACAATGTGAATGGGTCGTGCACCTCATCACCTAATGTAGGTGTTATATGATATGTCCTGAACTGTAATGTATCTCCTAAACCATATGCGAGTTCTGTCGAGTTATCACGTGTACGTTTGAATATGCAGTTTTGGAGATATGGACGGTGAAATAAATATTGCACTGCATGGCCTTGTTCAATGAATGCGGTTTTATCCAAGACAGTAAAGTACATTATTGTGGACCGAATAATAAAATTAGTCTGAGTTTCCTTGGGATGGAAATCTGGTGTCGGATGTGCAGGCAGTCCCTGAGATACGAACGTTCTAACTACGAACGAACCGCCATAAGATTATTTTCAACCATCCGACTTGCAAATGTTCGGTCATATCAACGAACCACATAACTATTTTGTTCATCGGAGTGATCCTCCACAAAGTGTAATGAGTCCCAGCATCCCGTGTGAAACACCCCTTCCGACAAGTAAGCCAGTATCAGGACTCAAGTGAAAATAAAAATGTATTCCTTTTATGTTCTATTTACGATACAGTATTAAAGTATTACATGCAAATCTACAATATTTTTTAGTTTAAGTGCTTCCCTTTTTTTTTTACAGTGCTTCCCATTTTTTGTTGAACCATAACACTTTTTATAAACACTGCCCATATGTACAATATTGAGTTCCGAGATAACAAATCTACTTACGAATGTCTCAGGAACATAACCCGTTAGTAAGTCGAGTACTGCATTGCATGGTACACGTACAGACCCATTTGTTATTCTGCTCCTGGATGACGGATTCCCCATGCCCCAATGCTAGTTGTGGGGGTTATGTGACAAAACGTTCACGTTGGTGAAAAGGTGGTAAATTAGAGAATAGTGCACGACCATTACAGTACTGTACTCCAATGGATTTTGCCAATTGCCGAAATTAGTTTTGTTTCCTTCAGTAGTGTTTTTGGCTAAAAAAAATGTGTACGTATGCATCACTGCCAACGGTATATTTTACGAAGTAAATCAATTAGCCGAGCACGAAGCTAATATTGTGAACATTATTTGAATCCGTTGCGTTGGCAGTGGTGCACAAAACAAAAAAAACATTCATCAATCACATTGTGTAGCCTTTTAAATAATCAAATACAAATAGGCGACGTTTCAGGCAATATCCCTTCATAATACCGTGCTTTCGTGCATTTGAACGTTCATCGTTGCATTCAACTCTCTGCGAAACTTTACCCCTGTCAATTCCAAACATGTACGGCATTTACACTAAACATGGGGAATATCTTTAAAAGTTGTATAATATGTAGATGCCACTGGTTTTCCATGTTCTGCAGATGTAGATACCACTAGTTATTCATGTTCTGCAGATGTAGATGCCACTGGTTCTTCATGTTCTGCTGATGTAGATGCCACTAGTTCTTCATGTTCTGCAGATGTAGATGCCACCATCACCATCTATTGCGCAGCGGTTGAACTTACGACTCTCGATCTTAACAGGGCAACTGGACAGGAAACCAGGTTTGTGCGTATCTCAGTTCGTAAGTCGAATGTTCGTAAGCGGAGGAGTCCCTGTTTCCGAGTGTGCGCACAACACCGCACGCTCCTCCGGAGCACGTGACTTTGGCGCGCGCTCTCGTTGCGTACCGAACACGTGCGCGCAAGCGCGCGCCGCGGCGGGAATGAGCGAAGCGGCGATTGGCTGGAGCGTCGTTTCCCCCCCCGCCACCTCGTCCCCCCTTTGTTCAACGCCGCGCGTCTATTGGCTGCAACCTTTTTTGCGCATCGCGGTGAAATGGGAAGAAGCCCCGCCCACTCCACCCCAACCCCGCCCACTCCACCCCAACCCCCACCCTACCCATTTCGGGGCAAACCGTTGAAAGTGAGAGCGCGTCACACGGGTATCTAATTCTCGACGCCATCTTGCTCGGGGTGTGTGTGAGTGAAAAAAATGAGATTCCATACGCGCGCGTGTCGCCGCTCGATGACGCAACCCCCGCCCAATGCTAATGAATGGACAAGCCACTTGACCAACATGGCCGCGCGATGCTTCGTCTCCATCGTCGAGGCGCCGGCCCGGGCCCCCACCCCCCCCCCCCCCCCCACAGCTCTTGAGCACCGGCGTCTGGAACGTTCCTCTTGTGAACGCGCCTCGCTCGTCCTCAATCCGCCGTCATCCGCGCCCGCCGAGCCCCGCGACACGCGCCGACCGAAGCCGCTCGCACCTGCCTCGTCCTTGCCCTCGAGTTGGAAGCAAAATGCCCGAGAAATCCGCGTCCGTTCGAGGCAGCGGAGGGAAGATGGGAGGCGCCTACCAAGACCGCGAAAAGCCGGCCATGATCCGCTCCAGCAACATCTGCGCCGCCAAAGGTGCCAGTGCTTGCTGCTGAGTTGTTTGCGTGCCATTTGGTCTCGCAAGCCGCATGGTTTAATGACGAGAACACGGCTAATGATGTCGCATTAACTCGTTACGTCGTGGTGAATGTTTGGCAGGAGACTTCACGCGTGCTCATTGACAACCCGCAGCTTCCATTCATTCGCTGTTGTGCCCATCCCAGTCAACGGTGGCTTCGTGGGCAATGTGCGTTTTAATTTTTTTAACGAAAGATTGAGGGAAATTTTAACAAATTTGTAACAATCTAAATGTGTGGACCATGCTGGTTATGCCACCTTGGCGTGAGATTTGTTAGACGTCAGGACGCAGCTCAGCGGCGTCGGTGCAGCTGTCCAATGTCAGATACATTGACACGTTAAGGGCGAGGCCACAAGTCTGATATGGAAACACGCAAAACAAAGGCTCCGTTCTTGCAGTCCCATTAGATTGGATTAGAGCCACCCACCCGTTATGGGAGAGAGGGTGATAGTTGATCATACTTCACCGTATATGGAAAGTAATTTTGAAAAGACACTCCTACCTTGAGCATTGAGAAACAATCCTTTCGTTTCCAATTCTAAAATGGGGCCTCGTCAATGTACCGGTGTATGTAGTTGAAGACATGGATTTGCTTAATGAACCCCAATACGATTATTCTCAAGTCGAGGTGGATACAGCAAGGATTAATGTCCAGTATATGGGCGTTTAAGTCAACGTTGCCTGTGTAATAAACATACGATGCAGCGTTAAATGCACCCGTGTGACGGGAGTCACGGTCATGTTTTCATGAAAATGTGAGTATGTAGTGATACCAGACGAGTAAAGTGAATGCTGTAATGCGTCCTTGTTTTTAAAATTCATGGTCAAAATTGGTTTGAACTCGGGACCAAGAGCTTTAGGGCCTGTCTAAAAGTAGCAATTTTTCAGGCTGTATTTTTCTTTAATAGCTCCAGTTAAAGCTACAATCATCAGCTCACTAAATGTACAATCATTGTTTTTATTTGTGAAATGCCTTTATAACATTCCCAACCCTACTACACATTTGGCGTATTGTACACGACATGGGTGTTTTTTTACGTCCAAGTACAGAGGTCAAGTGTCAACTCAAATATACACGGGTTCGGTCCAAATAAGGCAGGCAATTCTTAAGTAGATGAAAGGGAAAGTGACATTACATTCTTAATTTGGAGCTTAATTTATTATTCTTAATTTATTATTTTCTCTTTATACGTGACTTTACCGAAAGAACCAAAGAGTGACATTCCTACCCAACGTGTAGCGTATTCGTTAACCTGGAGGAAAGCTGCAATGCTTTACGTTGTCAGCTGAAACCCAAAAGCTTTGGGTGTTTGTCGCTAGGGTTACGTTTTCAGGGGCGTCACAAAGTAGATGTGTTGTACGCGTCAAATGCGCGCTTAGACCGTTGTCGTGAAGGTGTATAATTTGTGTTTGTTTTCAACGTCCTATTTCGGAGGACCTCATTATGTTTGAACTCTCACGGACACGTGGCCGTAGTCATCCGTGAATAAATATATACTGCGCTGTGCTTAGTGTTTCCTCCCGCCCCTCATTGGACATTGCACACATTTTTATATGAACCAAAATCCTCATTCGACGTTTGCCATCATCAGAGATTTGAAATCTCTTTTAGCGAGACGGATTTCTAAATTAACTTTGGTGTTCACATCGGACAAATAATACACAACTGCGACAGTTATTACTTAAATGCACCCCCCCCCATGTAAAAACGTGAAATTTTGTCTCATTCCTTAATTTACAACCACTTTGGACACGGTTTATTAAGTGCAGGCTTGCATTCCTGTCTCTATCGACCTGGCATATTAAGCTGATGGCCAAAGCGTCTCCCTTTTTTGGATATGTAATTGCCCCAATGTGGTACTCCTTTTAATGACCTTTGAGGAATTAAGTTGACCCCTCAATTGTGAATCAAACACTAATCATAGTAGCACCCAGCTGATAAGCTGCTAAATGATTAGTTGTTACACTTAGCTGAGTAATGTTTGATATCAAGTTTTCTGTACTATAGACTTGTCAACTTGCACCTGTTCAAGTCTAGGCTCAAGACCTTTTCTCCTGGGCCTATCTCTAATACAGATGTGCCTACATTCTGTCCAATGTTTTGAATTTCATTCTCATTTAGATGCTATATAAATCAGTATTGTGTGAAAGTTGAGGTTTTTCTCCGTGCGAGGACTCAAGTCTCTTGTGTGTGTTGCTTCACAGCGATTGCCGATGCAATCCGAACAAGCCTCGGACCCAAAGGCATGGACAAAATGGTATGAGAGGCAACCCTAACGTAAATTGCGGTTTCATAATTAACTTTTGTCTCATGAAGTTCACAAGACTCAATGGCAATGTTATGAAAGTATAATACTATTAATAATCTTGCACCACGTATACAATAGCTTTAAATGCAGTTATATGCTTGTCATTAATACCACAACTGTAATTGGTGATCAGATCCAGGACGGTAAAGGTGACGTCACAATTACCAACGATGGAGCCACCATTCTTAAGCAGATGCAAGTGACGCACCCTGCAGCAAAAATGGTGAGTGTCTTTCGTGTTAAAATGGTTTAAACTATGAACTTTATGTTCACTAACACTTGCATTTGAGCAGGTTCTACAGGAAGAACTATGCCGTTGTAGATTCTTGGACCGGTTTGCTTGTTGTAGTTTTCTTACAAAGGATGACTTATTCCATTACTGGTTGTGTCCTTGTAGCTGGTGGAGCTCTCCAAAGCCCAGGACATTGAGGCAGGAGATGGCACAACTTCTGTTGTGGTCATTGCTGGAGCTCTGCTGGATGCCAGTGCAAAACTGCTGCAAAAAGGTATTTTGCACGTTTTAAACAGTTTTGAAATCTTCCATTAAAGATGAGGTGAGTTGCACACTTTTTTTTAATTACCACTTATGTGATCTATGCAGGAATCCACCCAACAATCATCTCCGAGTCATTCCAGAAGGCCCTGGAGAAGGCTCAGGAGGTTTTGGAGTCAATGTCCTTGCCTCTGGAGCTGTCTGATAGACAGTCCCTCCTCAACAGTGCGACCACAGCTCTCAACTCAAAGGTGGGTCTTCACCTTTGGTTATCTGATAGGCCAAGTGCGAAGCCTGCCAAGTACATTTTTTTAACATAACTATCCGCAACCGTGTTTGTCTTTACACCACGTTGAGCCCCACCATCAAAGACCTAAAAAATTACAGCAGTTTACATTTAATGGGCTGCTGTATACACTTGGTTAATTGGGTTGCTGGAGAGTGGGATGGGTGTAATCTGAAATATCGGTAAGCGCAGCAGGTGTTTTCAGTGTTTATTTTATTACCCGTTCAGGTAGTGTCCCAGTACGCCAGCTTGCTGGCACCGATGAGCGTGGATGCCGTTATGAAAGTGATCGATCCAGCCACGGCCACCAGCGTTGACCTCAATGACATCAAGCTCATCAGGAAACTCGGGTAAGAACCTAGCTGTTTGTGCAGTCTTGTATATTTGCTTATTTCAGCGTGGTTCACTGAATCGGTATGAACCTATTTTTCTGTTTGTGTTCATTGCCTTTGTATGTTTTTCAGGGGGACCATCGACGACTGTGAGCTCGTGGAGGGCCTGGTTCTCACGCAAAGAATCTCCAACAGTGGGATCATTCGAGTGGAGAAGGCGAAAATTGGCCTCATCCAGTTCTGCCTGTCCCCACCCAAGACTGATGTAATTAAATTATATATACAATTGGTCTTTTTTACATCTAGTTTTATCATGGAAAGTCCAGTTTTACAATGGGGAGTCCAGTTTTAAACATTGAAGTTGGTTGTGGCCGTTTTACAGATGGAGAACCAAATCGTGCTTTCGGATTACACCCAAATGGACCGTGTTTTGCGTGAGGAGCGCACCTACACCCTCAACCTGGTCAAGCAGATTAAGAAGGCGGGCTGCAATGTGCTGCTGATCCAAAAATCTATTCTGAGGTGAGCTGGGCTGAGAGCATCACTGCATTATTTTACTGTGGAGCTGAAAGACTTTACATTGTGTCAAAGAGAAGTAACATGAATATTTGCTTGGAGCTGCTTGAAATTTGCCATCACTCACCAGAATGGATTTGCTAATCGCAGCACTTTTTTGCGATTTTATTCAGAGATGCTCTGAGTGACCTGGCACTACACTTTCTCAACAAGATGAAAATAATGGTGGTGAAGGACATTGAGAGAGAGGACATAGAGTTCATTTGCAAAGTGAGTAAAGGTTGAAAATAATGTTTTCCATTGATTGTGTATTGATATTAAAATGCGATGTGTTAACACTTATTATTGCATTTCCCCTAGACAATTGGTACCAAGCCCATTGCTAGTGTGGATCACTTCACTGCTGAGATGCTGGCATCTGCTGAGCTTGTGGAGGAGGTCAGTGTGGGCAGCAGCAAGGTGGTCAAGGTACGTGTGCAAATTCAAAATTCAGCAAAATTATTTCATCATCTCTACAGCACCCCATACCTTATTTTCTGCTCAAATAACGTAATAAATTACCCTTCCGCATTCTTGAGAATCGGACATTACCAACCAATGTGTCTTTCTGCAGGTTACAGGGTGTGCGAACCCGGGCAAGACGATGAGCATCCTGGTCCGTGGCTCCAACAAGCTGGTGCTAGAGGAGGCAGAGCGCTCTCTCCACGATGCCCTCTGTGTCATCCGTTGCCTGGTCAAGAAGAGGTGCGGAAGTGTAGTGCACCGCACACAAGCCGCCACCCTTGCTGTAAGCATGTGTTAACGCTACATGCTGGTTGTGAAGGGAACGTGAAGCTGAGTTCTGCCTCCCCGTCAATCCTCCCTGTGTGGTGATCACAGGGCCCTGATTGCTGGAGGCGGAGCCCCCGAGATCGAGCTGTCACTGCGCCTGACGGAGTACGCGCGCACGCTCAGCAGTATGGAGGCGTATTGCGTGCGTGCCTATGGCGAGGCCATGGAGGTCATCCCCTACACGCTGGCTGAGAACGCAGGCCTCAACCCCATCAGCACGGTCACAGAGCTGAGGAACCGCCATGCCCAGGGCGAGAAGACTGCTGGCATCAATGTCAGAAAGGTCAGTGGCATGCTGTTGACCACACAAGCATGTTGTGCCATGTTAAGTAGATTTTTTGTTGTTCCTGATTGTCTAAAGGGTCAAGGGTGTATCGCATATATTGTTGGGATACCAATTCAGTGCAACTATGAAACAGCTTCACAGCTAAATGACCTGTCAATATACTGCACATATATCCACATGGTGTATTTTGATAGTGTTCAAAGACCATGGTCTCGTCAAATAGAATACTGATGAATTATCGTTGGTCATGTAAGTTTGAATTTACTTTAACTGCTGATCAGTTCATTTCCACTGAAGTCCATTTGTTTGTGATGGCAACTAGGGTGGTATCTCCAACATCCTGGAGGAGCTCGTGGTGCAGCCCCTCTTGGTGTCCCTCAGTGCAGTCTCCCTGTCCACCGAGACGGTCCGCAGCATTCTCAAGATCGACGACATAGTAAGGCACTCCGAACCACGAACTCAGGCCTGACTTACACTGGTCTACTGCATTTGAGTGCATATTTATGAATGCATCTGAAATTGTTTGTGCTCCTGTGAAATACTTGTATGATCACACATTGAAGACCGATGGGACCCATGCATAATCTAAACCAGTGGTTTTCAGATTTTTTGGTGTGGCAGCCCCCAATCAAGACTAGTCCCGAGACCCCAATACCTAAGTGTAATTGATAAAAAAAATTACTTGTGCGTTGCTGCTTAATATCCCAATTAGTGCACAAAATTGCAGAGATCACCTGGTCATGTAGTGAGTGTTTAATATGCTTTTATTGTATCTTTTTCAGGTGAACGCCAAGTAAACATCTACATTTAAACATGGTGAACACGACATGGCAGGAACAAAGTAGCTTCCACATTGCGTAGAAAACAAATATTTTATTTGGCTGCAATAGCCAAATTGTTTGAAATGATCACATCGTCTTGTCTTTTTATTAAAAGAAACAAGTGTCACATTACACTGTTGAGCACTGAATAAAAGCTGAGATTACTGAAGTTGCAGCTGTCCTGTGCAAATTCCATGACTTGCTTCTCACCTGCTATTGGTTGGCATGTGCCATGATCTGGGTCTGTCAAGAGAAATGTACAATGAGGTTTTGTTAATCCAGTGCACATTTAAATTGAAGCACAATAACTTTGTTCACTTCAGATTGGAGTATTACCAACACCAATTAAGGGCAGATTCCCAAGTGGGGTATGATTTGCTTCCCTTGCTTATTGTGGCATTCGAGGATTGCAATTATTAAATTATTTGTATCTTGTAAGGATAACAACTCAATGGCCACGTGTACGCACATGACATACAGCCAAACAATTTCAAACATCAATTCTTACACTATCTATGCATGTTTAATAAGCTTAATGCCATGAGTTGATGCATTGTGGCACCCTTTAAAAGTCGCATTATCTGGTATAGTTGCTGGGGATGACACGCACCTTGAGAAAAGGCAGTGCATTGGTGGCCTGAAGACCCAGACTGCGGAGCAGAACCACAGGCCCGAGTGTGGTGGAGTATAGTCGCTTGAGGCCGTCAATGGCCAGCATGGTGGGCAGGTTTTGCCTTTGCTGGGTTGTCTCGTACTTGCTCAGGTGTTGCAGAGAGCCTGAAGAGAAAGAGAGTAATCTACAATCCAACTTTAATTTTAAAATCATTCTGCCACTTCCATTTGAATTGCACACTGAACATGCTAGAATGCGCTTTCAAAAGCCAGTGTTTATCCCTACAAGTATGATAAATGCAAACAAGTTAACATTTGCATGCTGCCATAAATGGTAGTACTTTATTTATGCTAATGTACCTTGCCTGAAAAGTAGCCAGTTTACAAAATCTGGTATAGAACTGTTTCAGAGCTGTTGCTGGTGGATGATGGTAAACAATATACAGGCGTTTCTGGGAACCTTCAAAAATTGGATCGTCGTTAATCCCATAGATGGTAGAAATGGTACAAATATCACTTGTTGATTTTATCAGCCATATTTAACAGTTTAACCAGTAAAAATCCACGAAAATACTTGAACAAAAGCCCAATTCCCAGTCACGTCGGAAACCACTGTTCAAGTGTTCCGAATCTTGTCCAAAGATGCAGCGTAAATAAGTTTCTACATTGGAAATCGATCCATGGTGGCATATAAACAAATGTGGATCGTAAATTGGACCATCGCAAACCGGGGACTGCCTGTACTTACAGAAAACGCCTATAGTTTCAATACAAAGGGGTAGTCCTGTGAAACCCGCATGTTAGAGCAGGGCTTTGCTGGCTCACCCAAGTCGCTGCCATCGTATGCGGCTTGGCTTAGCACATCGCGCAGGCAAGCAACATCTCCAAAGCCAAGGTTGACCCCCTGACCCGCCAGTGGGTGAACGCGGTGTGCTGCATCACTGTTGCAAATAAAGCAGAGGTTTTAAAGAAACCCACATGGTCATTAATCGTGAAAGGAAAGCGGTTGATTTGAAATTTGCTTCATGACATCCATACACAAAACATTTCGTACATGTTTAAAATAATATTTCCCCAGCGCTTTGATAAATTGCTGTGATGCAAGATCACAAAGACAAGAAATTAATGTGTGCATAGTAAAAGTTCCTGAGAACGTGAGCCCTCAGAAGAGCAGGCCACCTTACCCGATGAGGGCGAGGCGAGGTCTGACATAGTTTGTGGCATGGCCCAGTCCCAGTGGGAAGGACGCCCGGCTGGCTGGGTCCACACCCGACACGCTGGGAGGCAGCTGACGAACTGAGGTCCCCCAAGGCAGAAGTACCGTGAGCAGGGAGCGGAACACGGAATTTGCCGTGTCCACAAGTTCAGAGCGATTATTCTCGCTCCACTGACTCAGGGAAAGGGGGGGAAAAAAAAAGGGATTTTAAGCACGACTTGAAAATGGTGTAGTAAAATTCGAGGAACAGCTATGCAAGTGCAGAAATCCATTCTCAGCAGTAGTGCAAAAAGCATTGCCTGAAAACTTAACAAAAGTGGTTTATGAGGATAAATTAATTTAACAAAAAGACTTGCACCGTTTACTTATCAATGAAAGCGTGGAATAAAATCAGACATTAATAGCTGCAGCGACTATAAGCATAAAGCACTTATTACACCATAAAGTACTTAAATTGCTTTGCAGACTGGACATCAAATATGCAGCCTCGGTTAGCCGCATCAAGACGTGAATAATGCTGAGCTCTACAAAATAGATGCCAGAACTTTTTAATGTGCAAAGTCTCATAGCAATTAAATATTTCCATCACTCGAAGCTTCGCAATCTTTAAGGCCTGCTTTATAAAAGATGGAGGCTCTCATTAGTCTATTTTAGTTTAATAATGCAATGATTAACCATTAATTTTTCTTGATTTTTTTACACGCACATGCTGTTTCCCCATCTGCATTGTGTGACTTTGCAGAAAATGACCTGCTTAGTTTCCCAAACAGGCTTCCTCTCGGCAAACCATATGTGATGTCAAGGCTGTAAAGCAGCTGTGCTGCCTGGTATTTAAGGGGCTTAAAGGTGTTACAATTTGCATGGCACTTGCATTTCCTCTGCTCACAAAGGCGGAGTTGACAGCGTCGACAAATTCCTCGTGGCCTGCAGCGAGAAGCTCCTTTGCGTGTTCATGTGACGTGGACCACACGAGAGAGCTCAGCCGCTCACTCAGCTGAGACACAAAATGACGGGGTTACCGGATTGACTTAACATCTTTCGCTGCAGTCTTAAAATTGATCTGGACATCCTTTTAATATTAAAACGTTGACATGCATTTATATTTACCGGCAGCATCGCGATGGGGCCTGTGGGCAGGAACCTCTGCCAAGCAACGTTGTTTTCCGTTGGCTAAAAAAAGACAATATAATATTCAAGCATCTGATGAATGTTAAATCCGTTTAAAAACAATGTGAAATACATATAAACGGTTACACTCACATTTATTTTTATTACAGTCCACACTGTTACATTTCAACTTAGTTTTTCTGTGCCTTTATACAATTTTACAAGACATTACCGCAATTTAATCCTGATATTTATTTGTGCATAGCAACACTTTGGCATACAATCTTATTCCATAGAGTATAATACACCACTAGTTATTTCTTATAATGCACCTCTGAAAGCTGAAGAGTGGCCACAACGGCTGACTGGTCATAATTCCACCGCACTGTGTGGATGCCAGCCGACTCCCTTGCCATCGAGTTGGGCCCATCTGCACCGATCTGCACCATTCTCAGGCAAACAAACCAAAACAACAAATGCTCACCTAGCTAAATGAAGGTATGCAAGTTGGTTGAGCGATAGCCCAGCACACATTCAATGGCGTGGATAGGGAGGGACTCACCACAAGTTTTGTCCGCAGGATGCGTCCATCCGCCAGTGTTACGCGTACCCACGAGCACCTAGATGCCTCCTCGTTCTTTTCGATTAGCTCGGGCCCTTCTTCGGCCTCCTGTCGCTTCTCAGGAGCCATGACGGCCAACGAGTCGGGCCACTCGTACTTCACCACCCGAGTCTTGTAGAGAACGCTGACATGATCTACCACACACCACCAAGCACAGCTCTATACAATCACCATCATCCATATGATCCTTGTGGCGGTACCCCGAGGTACCAAATAATACAACATGGCTGAGGCAATTAAATATTTTATTTCTGGGACACTATTTTTTCCAGGGGTGTACTTAACTGCACGGCTGGGGTAACCAATCAATCCGAAATCAGTGCTGCTCTGCGATGTCGAAACGCCAAACATTATCAGAACAAAATCCGTTATCGAAAAATTCTACTTTGAATAGTGCATCGTGTACAGCTCGTCGAGATGAGTCGATTGTCGCATCACCGACCATCAACAGACTAAAAATTACTGCATCACGGACATTATGCGAGAGCCAGGGTACTATGGTACCCCGGAGTACCACCATAAGGTTCATATGTCCAGTGTTTCTTCCAAAAGTAATGACTTTCTAAGAGCATTTGCTACTGGCAAGCAGTGAGTGAATGAAAATGTTGGGACTAGGTTTTCCCCTTTTTTCTTGCAACAAAACAGCTGTGTTAAGATGTTAAAACACCAAACTGAAACCTTTTACAAGGAATCCTGTCTGCATTAACCACAATAGTTGTGGTCAGAATGCAAACAAAAAACATACTCTGATAATATATGCATTGTCTTTGAAACTGATTGGTCCACACCAGAGACAGCTTTCTTTTGAGCCCAGTCTCAAAATGGTGTTAGACCAGAGGACGCCAAAAGGTGTACAGCACAAAGACAATGCACTATCAGAGTAATGAGGGCTCGGGTGAGCATCTACATCATGGGACCTCCTTTGCCAGTACCAAAATATGAGAATAGGTTTTCCCCTTTTTTCTGGCAACAAAACAGGTGTTAAGATGTTAAAACACCAAACTGAAACCTTTTACAAGGAATCATGTCTGCATTAACCACAATACCAATCAGTTTCAAAGACAATGCATATATTATCAGAGTATGTTTTTTGTTTGCATTCTGACCACAAGTATTGTGGTTAATGCACACATGATTCCTTGTAAAAGGCTTCAGTTTGGTGTTTTAACATCTTAACACCTGTTTTGTTGCCAGAAAAAAGGGGGAAAACCTATTCTCATATTTTGCTACTGGCAAAGGAGGTCCCATGATGTAATGAAAATGTTGTTTTGCAATTTCCAGATTTGCAGCAATTATACTCATTTTGTGGGGGAAAGGCTGCGTACAATGCAAAAGAAATCCAACATATATATATATATACATACATAAATTGTCCCATATGGTCAACAAACGCAATGTAAACGGAGTCGTATTTAATTGTAAAAGCAAAGGATGTGGTTTCCATGGAGACAGCACCAGAAAGTGTCTCGAGTTGCCTTGTGAGAGCTGCCATCACCACATCGTTCTCCACCACATAGCCCATGTCCTCTACAAGGTCCTCTTTGTCGAATGTGATGAGGGCATCTGAGCAGGCATCCCAAACCTACCAGTGGAGGGAGGTTGAGGAAAAAGG